CTAATTTGTTATTTACTATTCTTATAGTAGTCTAATAATCTCCATTTGGATGATATAATTATCGAGCGATATAAATTTGATTATAAATCGCTGCAATTAGACGTTTTTTTAAGGCCTTCACGAGGCACTTACGTGTTTTTTTATGTCTTCAAGATATCCTATTTAGTATTTTTTTTTTTAATAATTATAAACAATATATTGTTTATAAATTTCTATCGCTTTCAAAAAGAAATTTTTTTTTCTCCTTCTAAAATATAATTTTTTTTCATCATTAAAAAAAAATGAGAATATTTACCTATATGAGGATATTTTAAAGAAGCTTTTCTATCACTTAATGATTATATAATTATATAAAAAAAACAAGATGGCGTAGAACTAAGATAATCTTAATCTAACAATCTTCGCACTGAGACTTTTTTTTCCTTAAAAATTATAATGAGTAGTTTTTCTATTTCATAAAAATATGGTCTATAAAATAAAAAAAAAAAAATTGGACGTTTGTGTCATATAGAAATTATGGGGGGGGGGGGGTGAGAAAAATGTCCAGAAGCATAAGGAGAGTATTTTTCTTTTCTATTGTATTTTTTTTATGTGTAGATATATAAATAGATTTTTCTATAATATATATTTTTACGGTGGTATTTTGAGGATATAAGACTACTTAGTTTAATATAATACATTTGTTGTACAGCCCTAGGGAATATCTTGCAGTCCATCATCAATGAGATTTGATGATTTTGATTCTTTGTAACTATAGTAGGATTTCAAGCGTAAAAAATATCGACAGTATAACAATACTAGTTATTAAATTAATACTTTTTTTAGCTTTCTGGACATTTTTCTTTTTCTATTGATTAATTGATTTTCATCGATCCAAAATTTGCGATTAAAAATTGTTATCTATAATTGTATGAAACAGTCTTTTGTTCCAAGTCTTTTTTTTTTTTTTGTTTTTCTTGACTTAGAATGGAAATGATTCGGGTTTTATTTATTTGCTATAAAATAGTTTTCTCGATGTAGTACTAAAAAAGCTTCGACTCTATTATAAAAATATAACTAAATGCATTATTTAGGAATCACTCGTTTCTTGTATATATGACAGTCTGAGAAGTGAGAATCACAAAATTAATATATGTCTTGTTCATATAAACCTAACTATAGCTTTAAAATAATAAAATACCTATTTATAATAATCTGTAGAAAAATATGCTTAATCTCTATATTCATTCGTGTTTGCTTCGTTGAGAATTTTGTACTGGAAGAAAAATCTCGATGAAAATTGTATGGAAAATTGTAAAAAAAATTCTAAATTGTAAAAATAATTGTTGATATTAATCTTAATTGTATTCTACATTTTTTTGTTTTGTTTTTACAAATCTATGTTTGCAGAAAATATTTCTGTACAAAATAAAGACTTTTTTGTAGTTCTCAAGATTTTTGTTCCCAGAATAAAATTCTCCTAGTTTGCAACTTGGATCGATGAAAAAAATCTTTTCTTAACTGGTAGTTTGATTACCTATAGTAGTTATTAAAAATCGGATTTTTTTTTCTTTTCGTAATTTCTGAATTTGTGAATTTGTGAATTTTTAATTCACAAGACGTCCAATGCAATGTAAACACCTCTTTCATAGCTTCTGCTAAGAATTTCACAATTATTCCTGTCTGAAAGATTTGTCACAAATTTTTAGATTAAAAAAAAAAAACTCGGGGTGATCTTTTCTAATTTTTACAAATACGAATATATAATATACTTAAATATCTAATCAATATTTATATATGTATATAACTTATGCAATTAATTCATTGCAAAAATTAAAATAAAAAAAAATGCAGATTAAAAATTTGCATTTTAAGGCACGATGATATTTTTTTTTCAATTTAGTTTAAAGTTTATTAATAAAAAAAGATTTAAAAATAAAAAAAAATTTGTTGGTCTAATTATAAAAACTATATTTTAATATAGATATATTATTAATTTTAATTTTTTTTTTTAAAAACAATACGATAACAAAGTATCACTCATAAGATCCTTCTTCATAATAAAGCTACTCAATTCTTGTTCCATTTATCACAGATCCATTCCGTTTAGTTTCATTATTTAAATAAATAGAAATTTTCCTCAATTGTCTTAAATTAGTAATAGCGAAATTTTAATTTATAAATTTTCTTTCATCGTGCCTATTTTTATATTCTTCAATATATTTTAGCCTAATCAATTTTTAAAATATGGAAAATAAATTGGGTTATTTTTAAATAACCCATACGATATTGTTAAAGGGTTAATTTTTAATATCAAGATATTCGAAATTTAATTTGGAAAAATTAGAATTTTTCAAATCTTCTTAGATTTTAGACTCCTTCAATTTTGAGTTGATTTTCAAAAAGAGAGAAAGAGACTAAATTTTTTTTCTTTCTCATTTTTAAAAACGAGTTTTTGAATTAATTTTTTACCCTTTTTTTGAGATTACTCAAAGGATTAGATTTTTTTTTTAATCTTTCTGAAAATTATAGATTTTCAATTGAATTGAAAAACAATTTTTCTACCTTTTTTTTAATAGGTAGGATTTTTAGATTACCCCGAGTGGACAATATTAAAAAAATGTAGCTCCGACATAAATATTGTGCTCTCTTTTTCGAATATAAACTACAAGAATATAGTTATAGAGAAATTGAAAAAAACGTTTAAAATATTTAAAAATTGAAAAAGAGGACAATTATTTTATTTTTCTACTTTTCTGTATATCGAAACGAGGAGAGAAAAGGATTTTTGTAAATCTTTTTCCTCTTTTCATCACTTATACGAATTTTCATTTATCAAAGAAGTGAATTTTTCTTTTTTCTATAGAAAATTTTTTAGAAAAACATTTTATGGAAAATTCTTGGAAAATTAAAATTTTGTAATGATTTTACAAAAATTTATAAAGATTTTATAAGGATTTCTTAAAGATTTATAAAGATTTTTAAAAATTTATAAAGATTTTGTAATGAAATTACAAAGATTTATAAAGATTTTATAAAAATTTATAAAAAATTATAAAGATACTGTAATGAATTTACAAAATTTTATAAAGATTTATAAAGATTTAATAAAAGATCATGAATATTTATATAGAGATTTCTTAAAGATTTATAAAGATTTTATAAAACTTTATAAAGATTTAGAAAGATTTTTAAAAATTCATAAAGATTTTGTAATAAATTTACAAAATTTTTTAAAGATTTTTAAAGATTTTTAAAATTTTATAAAGATTTTGTAATGAATTTACAAAAATTTATAAAGATTTATAAAGATTTTATAAAAATTTTTGAATATTTATAAAGATTTCTTACAGATTTATAAAGATTTTATAAAGATTTAAAAAAATTTATAAAAATTGATAAAGATTTTAGAAAGATTTATAAAGATTTATAAATATTTTATAAAAATTTATGAATATTTATAAAGATTTCTTAAAGATTTATAAAAATTTTACAAAAATTTATAAAGATTTAGAAAGAGTTTTAAAAATTTGTAAAGATTTTGTAATTAATTTACAAAAATTTATACAGTTTTATAAAGACTTTAGAAATTCTATAAAAATTTATAAATATTTATAAAGATTTTAAAAAGTTTATAAAGATTTATAAGGATATATAAAGATTTATAAAGATTTTAAAAAATTTATAAAGATTTAGAAAGATTTTGTAATGAATTTACAAAATTTTTTAAAGATTTATGAAGATTTTGTAATGAATTTTCAAAAATTTTTAAAGATTTATAAATATTTAAAAAAATTTATAAAAATTTATGAATATTTATAAAGATTTATAATGATTTTAAAAAATGTATAAAGATTTTGTAATAAATTTACAAAAATTTATAAAGATTTTTTAAAAATTTATAAAGATTTAGAAAGATTTTTAAAAATTTATAAATATTGAATAAAGATTTCTATGATCCACAAGTCTTGAACGTGCAAATAATCGAAATATTTTTTATAAATATTTTGATTATTTTTAATATTTTGAAATATTTTTTTGGAAAATTTGAAATTTTTTTTAATGAATATTTTTTATGAAAAATATTTTCATAATTGCAATAAAAATTAAAAACCAATTTTACATTTAGAAACTTGACAATTAATTTTTTTTTATAGAAACACAAAATTATTGCAATAAAAAATTAATTTGAACGAGAAATAAATAAATTTCGTTTATTCGAACGTTGAGAACTTTAGGAAAATGATTTAAAAATTATAAAGATTTTATTAAAAAAAAGGAAAAGAAATCGTAAGATTTCTTTTTATTTTTTGTAATAAAATCTTTATAATTTAAAGAAAAAGGATAAGAAGTCGTAAGAATTCTTTTTTTTTTTTGTAAAAAATAAAAAATCGAAAAATTGTTTTCTTTTTTTTAATAAAATCTTTATAATTTAAACGAAAAAGATAAGAAATCGTAAGATTTCTTTTTATTTTTTGTAATAAAATCTTTATAATTTAAAGAAAAAGGAAAAGAAGTCGTAAGATTTCTTTTTTTTTGTAAAAAATAAAAAATCGAAAAATTGTTTTCTTTTTTTTTAATAAAATCTTTATAATTAAAAAAAAAGGATAAGAAATCGTAAGATTTCTTTTTATTTTCATTTATAAAATCTTTATAATTTAAAGAAAAAGGATAAGAAATCGTTAGATTTCTTCTTTTTTTTGGTAAAAATTTTTTTTTTGCATCTTTCATAAAAGATAAAAATAAAAAAAATATTTCTATAAAAAAATCCAATCTTCACTTCTCGCAGTAAAAGAAAATTTCGAAATCAGTGAATATCTAATTAAAAAACCAAAAAAAAATGTCTAAACATTTTTTTTTCTTTTTTGGATATTAAATTTTTTGTAAAATTTACGAAGCTCTTCTTCTATAAATGACTTATATCATTTGATGATGATAGGGATTTTGTGATGGGATTTTTTTTTTTTTTTTGACGAAAAATTATACCAGTTCCTGCTTGTAGAGTTTTTCTTTGTGCATACGCTCCATGTGACGGGCGATGTGCATTTTTTGTTTCGCCTTGTAACTGCAGTGAGGACAGTGAAATTGCGGTGGTCGGCCGCACTCCCATTTTTGATGATTTCGAAGGCTGCTCTTCAATTTATAGACCCTGCCACAGGCCTGACAGCTGAACCCCTCGGGATTTGTTGGCGATAAGCTCAATCCTTTGCCCAAACTCGATGTCGATCGCCACATTATTGATGGCACCGCAGCCAATCTTTGAATAGCCGCTGCCCATTTTAAACTTGTGATACTCAAATCCTCAGCTGGAACACAAGATTCCAGTTTTTGTTAATTTTTTTTTTTGTTTTTTAAAATAAAACTTTTTACTATTTAAAAAATTTGAAAATAATTTAAATAGTAGAAATTTAAAAAAAAATTACTATTTAAAGGCCTTTGAATCATTATAAAGTGACCATTTGTGTAAAGTGTAAAGTTTGTGAAAAAAAAATTCTAATTTCTATAATTTCGTAATGAGAATTTTTATATTTTTCACAATGATTCAAAAGCCCTTAAAAAAAATTTCTTTTACCCGAAAAAAAATTTCTGGAAAATAAAGAATTTATTTAAATTTAAAGCGAATCCCAAGTTAATTTTTTTTTTTGCATTCCAATATAGGGAGGAAAAAAATTTTTTTTTTTAAGGCTACTAATTGGAAATAATTTTGAGTTTCTAATTGTGCATGCTTGTGTGTTGATTTAAGGTGAATAGAAAAGAATTTTAAAAAATACCAGCTTTTTTAAAAATAATTTTTATTAGTCAATTTTTAAAGTCTTTTTTTTAAATTTAAATCATTCTATTTAAAAATAGTTTGAAAACGACCCCCCCCCTGTAATGAACTACCCCTCCTCCAAATGCAAGGCACTTTTCAAGTAATTAGATTTTTTTTATTTGAATTTTCCAGGAATTATTCACGAAATAATATTTTTTATTTAATTAAACCAAATTGCACTAAAAAAATTTGATTCAAATAACCGATTACTTATCTATTATTAAATAAATTGTATTTGAATCAATAATTACAGTAAATCATGTAAATATAATTTAATTCACTTAAAATATAATTCATTTGATACAAATAAATATTTATTTGACAAGTAATCGTTTATTTAAATGAAGTTAATTTTTTTCAGTTTATATTTTTTTATCAGCAGTATTAAAAAATTTTTTTTTTGAATAATCATAAGAAGAATGGTTTTTTTGAAATTAAATAAAATAAGAGAAACAAAATTTGAAGAATAAAATTTTCAATTTCTTTAAATACATTATTTTATAGATTTTAATTAAATTCTTGTCAAAATAATTTTTATTACTATGGAAATTATTAAAATTATTATAGAAATTACTAAAAAAAAATGATAAAAATTACTAAAAAAAATGATAAAAATTACTAAAAAAATTATAAAAATTACTAAAAAAAATTATGAAAATATTCTATTTTTATTCCTGTATAGAGATTATGACAGAAAATTTAAATTCAAATTCAAAATTGTTATTTTAAGAAATAAAATATATTTTACAAGCATTATTGAGAATTCTTTTTCAAAATTGATATAAAAAATATAGTTTAGTTTTATTGAACAGAAGATGTAATAATTTCAAAAATGCCTTGCAATGATTTTTTTTTTTAAATAAAATACCCAATATAAAAAAAAATAAATATTTTTTTCATGTAGTTTTGAAATCTTTTATAAAATTTTAATTTGGAAAAATTTGGAAAAAAAATTTTCCTAAAGCATGCCTACTTTTCTATGCAATTTTGAGAAAATAAAAAAAAGTTCGTCTGAAAAAAATCTGATTAAACTTGAGTAGAAATACAAAAAGATATTTCATTAATTTCATTAATAATTATGATCAAAATATAGTTTTTTAATTTAAAAAAAACTATTTTCGGTATTAAATTTAAAATAACGATAAAATTTTGAAAAAGGATCATAAAATCCCAAATTAATGATGATTATACTAGGAAAGACCGGGAAAAAAGGTATTTTTTATTTTTTTGAAAATACATTATTGGTAATATTTTTCAATTATCACAAGTTACAATAATTAAGAAACAGTAGAACATTTTTTTATTTTTATTTATTTTTTTTAATTTATTGTTTTATTTATTTTTTCCTGTTGCCCTTTTTTCAGAAGAAATCCAGATAGATTCAAAAAAAAAAGGGCGGGGATTATTTTTAAATCAAGTCAATTTTTTACATTATGGAAAAGAAAAATATACTCTAAATTTTCAAAGTTCATTTATTTTTTTTTTGTGGGATTTCTTATTTTATAAAAATGACTCCAAATTTTGTCCTGACGTATTTTTTTAAATTCTTAATACGAAATCGACATTTCGTTTGAACTTTCGATCCTTGGTGAATTTTCCATAAATCCAATTTGATATTCACATCTGAAAAATAAAAATACAATTAGTTGTGTTCTAAAAAACGTAATATGTTTAAAAAATAAAAAATTACACTGTGAAATAATTTATTTTCAAAATTAAGAAAATATAAACTTAGCATCTATTTCAGAATATTTTATATTTATACTTAAATTTAGTAAATACTATCCTTAAAATAGGGATATATTCTCAGTGTATTTAGTATAATTTACTAAATCGAAGAGTATTTTTTACTAAATATTAAGAATATAATTTTTCACTTTAAAAAATAAATAATATACTAAATTTAGAAAGTCTAAAACAATTATAAAATATTCAGAAATAGATGCACGAAGAAAAAAAGGTTATTTAAACCAAATTAAGCAAATAAAATTATATTTTTCTTAAAAGCCTGAAATTATTATTTTTAAATAAAAATTTTATTCGACATAAATATAACTTTTATTTTGAATCAAATAAACGTTTATTTCGAACCAAATAAAATTTGATTTTGAATCAAATAAAATTTTATTTCAAACCAAATAAACGTTTATTTCGAACCAAATAAAATTTTATTTTGAACCAATAATAAAATTTTATTTTGAACCAAATAAAAATTTATTTCGGACAAAATAAAAATTTATTTAAAACAAATAAAAAGTCTAGTTGGCTTTGAGACAAATAGATATTTTTTCTATGTTTGCTAAGTATATTTTCTTAATTTCACAATAAATTTTTTTTCAGTGAACAAATTATGAGATTGCAGAAAATAATGAAACAAATATGAGACAAATAGTGCATTTATTTTACTCAAATAGAATACATTTTTATTGCTGACATAATATACAATTGTTATATATTTTCAGTGATTTTCACTTTACAATTTGATATGATTTTTGCGCTTTTATTACCATTTGATAAAAAATCATTTTTTTTTACTTTTAGTATGAAAACTTATTATTTTAGAAACTATAAATATTTACAGAAACTAAGCATTATATTCTCAATTTCTGATTTTATAATTTTCTTATTTTTATGAGCCTAAAACTAGTTCTGAACATTCAAATGAACGAAATATATTTTTTCTTCCTCGAATCAAATTTTTATTAGGTACAATAATTTTATATCTTGTACTTTGTACAACCGTCAAAATAAATTTACTGTAACATTTCTAAAAGTAAACTAAATTTTTGCTTGAATTTTTTTAAAACAAAAATCAGTAACTGCAATCTGTAATTTATGAAAGTATTTTTAATAGGAAATTATTCCTTCATTTGAATGTTCATTAATTGATCAATTTTTTTAGATACTATTATAAATGTTTTAAAATTTTAGTATTAAAAAGTTACTACCATTACACTGAGAAAATTTTTCTTTTAATTCAAAAATATGTCGTTAACCAAAAAAATATGTTTGAATTAAACGTATTTTAAATTAAAAATTTTTTTATTTTATTTAAATTTAATTTAATTGAATTAAATGTAATTTTTTTATTAAATCGAACTCATTATTTATTGAATCAAAATTATTACATTTAATTCAAAAATAATTTTTGGTTGACTGTATAACAAAGATAATTAAGTTTGATTCAAATATATTTATTTCCCAGTGTATTAAAAATAATAAACTATAAGAGGAACAGAGGGAACTAAAATATTTAAAGAAAACTTTTCATTTTTAATTCATGATTCTATTTTCTTTTCAAATTATTTGGCTTCTTTGTGCTTCACTCATTAGCCTATGACAATAAATTTTGCAATTTGAGGATTCAATGCAATTTTTAAAAAGAACAGAAAAATTACTGTTTGGTACCGAAGAGAAGGAAATATATTTTTTTTTCTTAAACATTAGTAAAAATATTATACTTATCCAAACACTTTGCAAAAATTGTTATAGAAACACGAAACACATTTTTTTATAGACATACATTAATTATATGATAATTACATAATTATATTATAATTACACAATTATATGATAATTACATAATTATATTATAATTACACAATTATATGATAATTACATAATTATATTATAATTACATAATTATATTATACGTTTTAAAAATAGATATATATTTAGAAATACCCATTTTCACACTATTCAGGAAATACGTGAACAATTTTTTCAATAATTTTTGGTTGAGCGTGGTGAAGATTACGCAAGTGTCTCGTCAAATGATGCTTTCGCATAAATCGTTGTAGACAAATTAGACATTGAAATTTCGGAACTGTTCCACATTCTTTTTCATGCCTTCGCCATGATCGTGATCTATTGTATTTATTGCCACACTTGCTACAGGAAAAATTGGCTCCCTCATTATTTTGATCCGCACGTTGTGCTCGTGTCTTGTAGGTATGAACATTATAGTCATTCAATATTCTCATTTCCAATGGCACGTCTTCAATTTCTTCATTTCTCGTCGTGAAAAATCCTAAAAAAGAGAAAGAATATTTTAGTTGTGCTCTAAATTATATTTTTTACCTGAATATAAAAATATTTTGTTGCTAATTCAAATTTTTTAGCTGAATAAAAACACTTTTCAGCCAGAAAATATTTTTTAATTGAATGAAAATATTTTTTAGCTGAATAAAAACACTTTTTAGCTAAGAAATATTGTTTAAGTATAATTAGAAACATTTTTTAGCTAAGTAAGAACACTTTTCAGTTACAAAAATTTTTTGAAGCTAAATAAAAACATTTTTTAACTCAACACAAACACTTTACAGCTTAAAAGTACTTTTTAGCTAAATAGAAACACTTTACAGCTAAAAATCATTTTTTAGCGAAATAAAAACACTTTTTAGTTAAATTAAAAGATTTTTTAACTACAGAAAAATACTTTTTAGGTAAAAAATACTTTTTAACTAAGTAAAGACTTTTTTCAGCCAAATAAAAACACTTTTCATCAAAAACACACTTTTTAGCTAAATAAAAACATTTCTTAGCTAAATAAAAACACTTTTTGACTAAAAAGTACTTTTTAGTTAAATTAAAAAATTTTTTAGCTACAGAAAAATACTTTTCAGCTGAAAAATACCTTTTAACTAAATAAAGAAAATTTTAGCTAAATAAAAACACTTTTTGCTAAAAAAAAATTTTTAGCTAAATAAAAATATTTCTTAGCTGAATAAAAACACTTTTTAGTTAAATAAAAAGAACTACTTTTCACCTAAAAATAGTTTTGAACTAAATTAAGACGTTTTTAGCTAAATAAAAACACTTTTCAGCTAAAAACCACTTTTTAGTTAAATTAAAAGATTTTTTAGCTACAGAAAAATACTTTTCAACTGAAAAATACTTTTTAACTAAATAAAGACAATTTTAGCTAAATGAAAACACTTTTTAGCTAAATAAAAATATTTCTTAGCTGAATAAAAACACTTTTTACTTAAATGAAAAAACTACTTTTCAGCTAAAAAATACTTTTTAAGTTAATAAAGACATTTTTAGCTACATAAAAACAGTTTTTATCTAAAAAACACTTTTTAGCTAAATAAAAACACTTTTCTGCTAAAAAACACGTTTTAGCTAAAAAAAAATATTTCTTAGCTGAATAAAAACACTTTTTAGTTAAATAAAAAGAACTACTTTTTAGCTAAAAAATACTTTTGAACTAAATAAAGACAATTTTAACTAAATAAAAACACTTTTCAGCTAAAAACACTTTTTGGCCAAATAAAAATATTTCTTAGCTGAATAAAAACACTTTTCGACTAAAAAACACTTTTTAGCAAAACATAAACATTTCTTAGCTGAATAAAAACACTTTTAAGCTAAAAAATACTTTTTAGCTAAATGGAAACATATTTTTTACTTTAAAAAAAACATACATACAATAATACACAAATGACTGTCTGATCTAAAACAAAAAATAAGCATAATAAAATAAGTGCAACAATAGTAAATGAATTTTGAAAAAAAAATGATTAAAAGGAATTGGATTTTTGGTTAGAAATAAATGAAACGCTTTTTTGATAATTCCCTCAACAGTATACCTTTTATTAATAAAAAAAACAATTGTTATAAAGGTAACGACAATGTGTAATTCCCAATGTATACAAATGTTACCTTAACCGAGGACAAATATTGATATTATAGTTTACAAAAGTCCCTCTTAAAAGTTAAAAATTAAATAAATATAAACGTATCGTGTGCGTGTAAGTATAAAAATAGTCTTCATCAGCAGAATATTCTTATAAAATCAAATTACAATCGAGACCTTAACACTGAAATAATATAATTAATTAAATAAACGTAAATATGAATTTTTTATTTCAAGAGGAAACAAAATTAAATTTGATCTCTAAATCTGAATTGGTAGCTATTTCTTTTTATTAATATTTATATTTGAAATAGTATAGCTAATTTTTTATTTCACAATTTTTTTCCAGTCAGAATTTCAGGATTAATTTTATTAGTAAAATTTTACTTTTACCTCGACTTTTACTCGCAGTAAAATTTTATACCAATTCAAATTTAGAGAGTCCAAAAATTTCGATAACAGACATAAATATAAAAATTGAAAAGTTTAAAAATTCTTTTAAAAAAATTTCTTAAATAGTTAATAATAAATTATGCTTATTACCCTCAAGTATATCGAAATCAAAGATATCAAATTTTCAAATTCCAAAAAAAATGGTGAGGAAAATTCAAAAATTCAAAAATTAAAGAATCGTATACAATATTTTTTCGCCAAAATTAAATTTTTGAAAAACTTTAATTATAAATATTTACTAAATTTTTTTGTATTATAAATATTATAAATATTTAAACTTTTATTTTGAAATTTGAAAATTTGAAATCAAATTCTTATAATCAACCACCAAAAACAAAAAATTTGTTCAATAAAATATAATATTTCTTAATCTCCCGTTTCAAAATGTTTAATCTCTTTCATAATTATAATAACGTAGGAAAGTTGTAAATTTTTCTTTTTTACTGATAACGAAATAGTAAAAAATAGAATGAGTATACTCTATAGTAATCTTAAAATTGTGGAGTGTCAACTGCTTCTTAAAAAATACTGATATAAAAATACTGCTTTTAACGAAGAAACATATCATCATTTCCATTTTTTTCGATATAATATTTCATTTTTTTTAATATAATATAAAAAAATATCTTAAAGTACCCTTTCCCATTTACAAAAGTACAAAGTGCATTTTCATAATCCGACAAGTGATGTTTATATATGTACATAAATTTATAGACTAAATTCTAAAAAATATTTTTTTTATTTATAAAATATTTTATTTTTCTATAAAATATTTCTTTTATAAAATATTTAATTTTTTTATGAATTTTATTTTATTTTATTTTTTGATATTTCAAATAATTTGTTTTAATAAACAACCGTTTTGTTTCTTTATTCAATGATAGTCACATTTACTCTCTAAATTTGAATTAGTGTCGACTAATTAAAAAAAATTTGTTACATAAAAAATAATTTAAAAAAATAAATAAATTATTAAGAAAAAAATTTAAAAAAACTTATAAGAATCATCTCTTTCTTTTTTTGTAAAAATTGAAATTTGATGTTATTCTTAGCTGATACAGCTAATAATCTTATTTTTCTTCGTAAAACTAAATTTTAGTCAAAAATAAATAATTTTAAAGTCAGTGATACAATTAATAATATTTACAATAATCATTTAGGTGGAGACAATTTCTTATAATTAATTTTTTTAAATTCACATTTTCCTTTTTTGTCAGAGTAAAAAATAGTATAGTGACTAAATTATTTAGTTAAACCTGTTTATTCATTCGTGTTATTTTTCTTAGACGAAAAATTAGTTATTTTTTCCCACGTGAAAATATTTTTGCATAATATTCAATTTACGGTGATTTTTAATATTCTTTTTTCCAAAAGATAAAGATAAAAAATTTCGTTAGCCGAAATTTCAAAAAATAATTAATTTCTTTTCGACTCATGAAATTAATGAGCGTTTTGACTAATATTATTAGTCAAAAACTAATATTTTTAGTCAAAATTAATATTATTAGTCAAAAACTAATATTTTTAGTTAAAAACTAATATTTTTAGTCGAAACTAAGATTATTAGTCAAAACTAAAATTATAAGTCAAAACCTAATATTATTATAGTCAAAAACTAATATTTTTAGTCGAAATTAAGATTATTAGTCAAAACTAAAATTATTCAGTTAAAAACTAATAATATTAGTCAAAAACTAATATTTTTGCTCAAAAATTAATATTTTTAATCGAAACTAAGATTATTAGTAAAAACTAAAATTATTAGTTAAAAACGAATATTTGTGCTTAAAAACTAATATTTTAGTCCAAACTAATATTATTAGTCAAAAACTAAAATTTTTGCTGAAAAACTAATATTTTTAGTCAAAAACTATTATTTTTAGTTAAAACTAAAATTATTAGTCAAAACCTAATATTTTTAGTCAAAAACTAATATTTATAGTCAAAACTAAAAATATTAGTCAAAAACTACTAATTGGTAGTAGAAAAACCTAAAAAATACATAAGTTGTTTTTTTAAAAATAAAAACAAAAAAATCTACTACTGATTACTATTTTTTCTTTGTTAAAAATTAGTCAAAAGACTTGTGCTAATTAATTTAGTGAATTCCCATTAGTCGAAACCGTGACTAATTCAAATTTAGAGAGTACACTAAAAAATGTGTATTCAAAATAAAAAATTCTTTTTTTTCAAGAATTACAAAAAATTACGAATTTTAATTTAAAAAAAAAATACTAAAAAAGAAAGTGATAAAAAAAGCCTTATAAAATAATTTAAGCGAAAAATTTCTAATGTTAGCACATTATTATAAGGCAAGGGATATGCAATAAATAATATTTGTCTATCTTGCATCAAATTAAAACCACACCATTTGACTTGATTAAAAACCCGCAATACCTCTCTAAAAACTAATTTTTATATTCTCTAATATATAATAAAATTGGTCCCTTTGTGCGTCATTTGATTTTATACTACAAAAAAAAATTATTATAGAATCTTTAAGTCTTAAAAAACGAAAACACAGTTTTCTTGAAAGTATCAAATTGATACTAAAGTGAATCAAATTGATGCCAAAAATATGGATAAAATTAAAAATTGATCCAAATTTTTGGTAAAAAATTTGGATCAATTTTTAATGTAATCCACATTTTTGGCCAAAAGTTTGTATCAATTTATAATTTGATCCAATTTTATGGCCAAAAATTTAGATTAAATTAAAAATCCAAATTTTTAATTTGATACCAAAAGTTTAGTTCAATTTTTAATTTGATCCACATTTTTGGCTAAAAGTCTGGATCAAATTAAAAATTGGTCTAAATTTTTGGCCAAAAATTTGGATTAATTTTTAATTTGATCCAAATTTTTAATTTGATACCAAAAGTTTAGTTCAATTTTTAATTTGATCCACATTTTTGGCTAAAAATCTGGATCAAATTAAAAATTTATCTAAATTTTTGGCCATAAAATTGGATCAAATTATAAATTGATACAAACTTTTGGCCAAAAATGTGGATTAAATTAAAAGTTGATCCAAACTTTTGATATCAAATTAAAAATTTCGATCAAATTAAAAATTGATCCAAACTTTTGGTATCAAATTAAAAATGTGGATCTAATGAAAAATTGATCCAAACTTTTGGTATCAAATTAAAGATTGATCCAAACTTTTGGTACCAAATTAAAAATTGATCCAAACTTTTGGTATCAAATTAAAAATTGATCCATATTTTTGGCAAAAAGTCTGGATTAAATTAAAAATTGATCTCAATTTTTGGCCAAAAGTTTGGATCAAATTAAAAATTGATCCAAACTTTTAGTATTAAATTAAAAATTGATCAAAACTTTTGGTATTAAATTAACAATTGATCCAAACTTTTGGTGTGAAATTAAAAATTGATCCAAATTTTAGGCCAAAAATTTGGATCAATTTTTTTTATTATATAAAATTTGGATCAATTTTTAATTTGATATTAAAAGATTGGCCAATAGTTTATGTCAATTTTTAATTTGATCCACATTTTTGGTTAAAAGTTTGGATCAATTTGTTGCAATTTGATAATTTTAAGTTAACAGTGAAGTAATTAAATAGTAATAATTAATAAAAAATATAATCGAAAAAATTTAATTTAATTTTTTTTTTAATTTCAATTTTCAACTGGAATGTCATCTAATTCGCCCTTTTGATGATGTCGCTTATAATGAACGGTGAGATTTCCTCTTTGCCTTGCCTTATAGGGACACTCGGGACACTGGAATGATGGAGCTTTTCCTCCACATTCGACCATCTCGTGTCTTCTCATTGTCGATTTCCATCGATAGCCCTTACCACAAAATTTACACCTAAAGAGACGTTCGTCCTCCGAGCGGCCGGCAAATATTCTTTTTCTGTCCCATGGCTGTGGCAGAACTTCAAATGAATCGGGAAAAACAACTTCGCGCGATGACGATCTCTCATTGCCCTCAAAATTGTTATTGCTACTATTACTGTCCGAATCGATATTACGATTTTCTCGATTTGAATTTCGACTACTCGGCAGGTCCATTATATTTTTTAATGTTGACACTTTTTTTCGTACATTTCGTTTATGTTGTGATGATCTCAATAGGGATATGAGTGCACGAGGACCTGTAACAGATAATCAAAAAAAGGCAAAGAAACCAAATTAAAAATAATGTTTGGTGAAACAAAACATAAAATGTAGAAAGAACTTATAGAAACCAAAAGGAAAAAATAAATCAACAGAAGATATTTAATTAAAAATTATTTTAATGAGGTGAGAATTTGTTTTTTTTTCTTATTGAAAAGTGCAATGCTTATATTATGTATATATAACTAATAACCAAACCCCAAAAACCCAGCATAAAGGCAACCATAAGAAGAGAAAAAAATTTGTAGGAAATTTTTTTTTTTAAAAAGTGTTAGAGAAAAGGAAATTTTCCAAACCTTGAGGAAGAATAAAAGTGGAAATTAAAATTACTGGAAGAAATTTTTAGCCTCTCCCTTCTACCCCCTGAATTATTATTCTCACTATTACGAATTTATTTATTAAAAAATAACTTGAATATTAACTATAATTTTCAATAATTTTTGAATAATAAATTGATACAGTAAATCAAGGAGTAAATATTTCTAAAAGATATAATACAAAAAGAAATGCATAATTTGCGAAAAAAATAATATTATAAAAATAAATAAATTAATATTAACAGTCTTTAACGTCCTTTAATATTAAATTATTAAAAATAAAAACGATAAATAAATAGAATAATAAAAATAAATAAAATGAAAACAAAAAATAATAAAACAATAATTATAATAATAGTAATCCAACAACAATTGTAACAATAATAAAATAATAATTATAATAATCCAACAACAATAATAAAATAATAATTATAATAATAATCCAACAACAAATGTAACAATAATAAAATAATAAATATAATAATAGATGAACAACAATTATAATAATAATAAAATAATAATAATAATAATAATAATAATAATAAAAGTAGTAATAATAATAATTGAAACGTAACGAATAATATTTATTAAAATTAATACATTTTTTTGTCCTGCAAATTTTCTAAAATATTTTGTATAGTCCTCAACCTGTATTTTTTTCAATACACAACTGAAATTCCCATCAGGAATTCATTGAATTCTTTGACTTGATGATAAAATGATGACTTCATGTAGTAAAATTTAAAACATTGTAGAAAAATTTTCGAATGTCACGAATCCGTAAATTCACCTAAAACAATATATAACATGTTAGTAAAATCATAAAAAAATTTTTTTGTACCAAAAAAATGAGTAAATAATTTATACTAAATAAATGAGATTTTCTAATTCAAATAATTGTTCCACCAACAAAAGACGATTTTAAAGAAAATATTTTTTAAGAAGTTTTTTTACAATATAATTAGTTATTAATTTATAAATAAATAATTGTAAATAAATATTTATTATTAAAAATAAAATTTACTTCAAAAATAGTCTTTTTGAGATCGTCTGTTGTTAATAATTATAATTATATAGTTATAAATATTTTTTTTATTTTCAAATATATGAATTTTTGAATCATTTCAGATTCAAACTTTAAAAGAATTCAATTATAAACTAATTTTTACTAATTAATTATTCTTGTTTATTAATTTCCGAAAATTTTAATAAAATTTTTCGCAAGAATTCAGTTATTTTCTAAAATTTTCATAAAATTCTTGGAAAGAACAATTGAGGCGTTCAGTCAAATAACTCGATCTTCGCTCGGCTGAAATTTGTGAAGCCAGTCAATGGCATGAAACATAGGGGAAAAAAAAATTTCAAAATTTCGATATTTGAAAAAAGTTATCTTAATGAAAATCAAAAAGCACAACTTTTTTCTTATTGTCATTTTTTTATAGAACGATTATTTTTTACAAAAAAAAATAAAAAGTGAAAAATTTTTATTCTGAAATTTAATGAAATTTTAAAACATAAATCGCATTATCTACTACAAATATAAATGAATTTGATTGCAATTTGGTATGTATACTCATTAGGGTCTCCTGAAACTGAAAAAGTCTTAAAATTTTGAAAAATTATTCATTGTTTATATTTTTTTTTATTATAAATGATGACGTGTCAACAATGAAGCTTTGTAACTTTCAACGAGAAAAAGTATGCGGGGAAGTTTTGAGTTCAGCAAAGTTGCAGTGAGAAAGTTGTTCCTCAATATTTAAGGAAGTTTTTTGGAAAATTTCAAATAAATTAGTTAACAAACAAAAAAGTTATGTAATTTTTAAAGAATGCGCGCGCTGCGCGTTGACTTCAACTTAACCTATAGAGACGTGAAATATGTCTATTTTCACAATTTTACCACTCACATATTATGCAGTTCATTTATTTCCATGCTTTATTATTTGAATACTAATAATTTTATTTGTTTACAAAAATTAGCACATTAAAAAATTTGACAATTTTTTTTTGTTCAACTAAATATATTTATACTTTTCAGCAATTTTTATTTTTACAATTATTTATTTTTATTATTATTATTATTATTTATTATTATTTTTTATATTATTTAATATACTGAGAAAATTTGTACTCTTTCAAAATATACTATTTATAATTTCTAATATTAATTTCAATGAAAATGTAGAAGTGATTATTTACATTTCTTGCTATTGTGATTATTTATAAACAAAGCAATTAAGAAATTTCCATACAATAAACTTTTAATTATAACTAGTCTATTACTAATCTATTTAATAGGAAAATATTACGTAGACAAATAATGTATATTGTATTTAAAAAAAGTACAAATTTTCTCAGTATATTAAATATTGTGTGAAATAATTGTAAAAATAAAAATTGCTGAAAAGTATAAATATATTTAGTTGAACAAAAAAAAATTGTCAAATTTTTTAATGTGCTAATTTTTGTAAACAAATAAAATTATTAGTATTCAAATAATAAAGCATGGAAATAAATGAACTGCATAATATGTGAGTGGTAAAATTGTGAAAATAGACATATTTCACGTCTCTATAGGTTAAGTTGAAGTCAACGCGCAGCGCGCGCATTCTTTAAAAATTACATAACTTTTTTGTTTGTTAACTAATTTATTTGAAATTTTCCAAAAAACTTCCTTAAATATTGAGGAACAACTTTCTCACTGCAACTTTGCTGAACTCAAAACTTCCCCGCATACTTTTTCTCGTTGAAAGTTACAAAGCTTCATTGTTGACACGTCATCATTTATAATAAAAAAAAATATAAACAATGAATAATTTTTCAAAATTTTAAGACTTTTTCAGTTTCAGGAGACCCTAATGAGTATACATACCAAATTGCAATCAAATTCATTTATATTTGTAGTAGATAATGCGATTTATGTTTTAAAATTTCATTAAATTTCAGAATAAAAATTTTTCACTTTTTATTTTTTTTTGTAAAAAATAATCGTTCTATAAAAAAATGACAATAAGAAAAAAGTTGTGCTTTTTGATTTTCATTAAGATAACTTTTTTCAAATATCGAAATTTTGAAATTTTTTTTTCCCCTATGTTTCATGCCATTGACTGGCTTCACAAATTTCAGCCGAGCGAAGATCGAGTTATTTGACTGAACGCCTCAATTTTATTTGTAAATGGTAGTAAAAATCTTTGCAAAAATTCAATTTTTTTAAATAAAATTTTAATAACATTACACGAAAGAATTCAATTTTCTTTTAATTCGTTATAAAAAATTTCAATAGAATTCAATTATTTTCTAAAATTTTAATAAATTCTTTGAAAAAATTGAATTATATTTATAAATAGTAAAATTCTTTGCAATAAAAATTCAATTATTTTCTAAAATTTTTAATAAATTCTTCGAAACAATTTAATTATATTTATAGATAGTAAAATTCTTGGTAAAAATTAATTTAATTTCAAAAAAAATTAATTTCTCGAATGAATTCAATTTTTTTCTTAATTCATTATAAAATTTTTCAAAAGAATTCACATATTTTCTAAAATTTTAATAAAATTCAATAATTAAATGTTTAATTTCAATTATTAACAAACGCAATTATTTTAAAAACTTGAAGGAAATTGTTTATAAAATTCAATTATTTTAAAAAATTTCAATTAAAATTATTAAAGAAACTTTATTATTTAAAAAAAAATATTCAAGCAAATTCTTCAAAAAAATTTTAATTAGAATTTTCGAAAATTTTAACAAAATTTTTTGGGAACATTCAATTATTTTCTTAAATAATAAAATTCGTTACAAAAATTCAATTACTTTTAAAACAATTTTAATAAAATTTCATGAATGAATTCAATTTTTTTGTTAAGGGGATTTGAACCTTGATGACGTCACAGTTTGTGCAAAGCATTAGTTTTAAATCTGTGACGTCATCATGGTTCAAATGCCCTTAATTTTGAATAATATTTTTCGGAAGAATTCAATTATTTTCTAAATAATAAAATTCTTTGAAGGAATTCTATTATTATCATCAAATTTTTTGATAAAATTCTTTGCAACAATTCAATGATTTTCAATACATTAATTTTAAAATTGAGAATATTTAAAAAGAAAAAGTTAAAAAAAGCTAGAAAATAAAAAAATCAACTATTAAAAAATAATTAGGTACTGATTATTAATTATTACATTAATGAATTAATTAATAATTAAAAATTTCCTTTAATTAAATAAATGGAAAAAATTTAATTAAAATTATAAATAAAATTAAATAATATTCCGCTTGAAAAACAATATTTTTTTCTTTCAATCGTTAATCTCAATCGTTGTAAATTTTATTAAAGTGCATTTTGAAAGAACTTTATTTTTTTCATTAGATTTCAAAGAGGATTTTTTTCGAGAATTTGAGAAAAATTAAGAAAAATATAAAGATTAATCAAATGATAATTATCTTTTGATTGATCTTTATATTTTTTTTAATTTCTTTTGTAAATTCTTATTGAATTCTTTTGTAGGTGGAACCGTTCGAAATAGAATGCCTGAAATAAATAAATAATCCTAATAAATAATTTACAATACATAAGTATTCACTGAAATAAATTAAATTAAATTAAATTACTTGTCTATATTATCAAATAAATATTTATTTAAATCAAATAAATTGTATACGAGCAAATACTATATTTAATTGACATAAATAAATTAAAATGCAATATTTTATCCTAAAATAATATAATCCAACTATTGACACAAGCCTTTATTAAACTTCAAAGTTATACATTATTTAAAACAATAATAAAGCAAAAGTACAAACGTTATATTGTATAGCAAAAAATTCACAAGAAAAATTGTATAACAATTGTTTTAAGAATCACATGTTTCCTTTCTTTTTCTTTTTTTTTTCGTAAAAAAATCACTCTTTATAGAAAACCATGTGATTTATGCATATGCTTCAGTAAATTAACACGTTTCGAAGTCTTTTTCTGACAAAATAAACACTGATATTTCGGTGGGGGTTTTGAGTACGGCTGCTTTTTCTCAATTAATCCCAAATTCATTGCAACCCTCTTGCAATTTGGATAATTTTCATAATGACGAATTAAACTCTGCTTCCACTTGTGACTCTGGAAGCATCCTTTGCAAATATTTTTTGGATCTGCAAAATAATAATAAAAAATTGTTAATAAAAAATTAAAAATTACAAAAAAGAAAAAAAGCAAAAAAATTTTAGAGTATTGAAAAAAACAAAACGAAGTCAAATGAAAAGAACATGAAAACTAAAAAATATGTAAAATTTTATTGTGTTAGATATTTTTTTTTCGTTTACCTTTTTGGAAAATATAATTTTTTATAATGTGAAAACATTAGCAAAGAACGAGATTGCGTAGATGAAACTTTTGGGGACGAATGATTCTTGAGACGTAAAATTGGTCTCAAAATTAACACCAAATTGTTTTAATTAGACAATTTTTTTTTACTGTTTTGAAAAGTGTAGAAAAGAAAAGAACAGGACCTGAATGGTAGTAACAGACAATATTGTGAATAAACATTTATTTCTATTTTATTGACGATTATTAGCTGTATAATCTACAAAGTCAGTATAATGTAAGATAATATTAAAGAATCTTTATCAGTATTATAAAAAAAATTTTTTTTTATTCAAACAATAAATTATATTATATTTTGAAATTGTATTCAAATTTCTTTTCGTATTTAAAGAAATTTTAAAATTTCAATCGATCTTCTTCTTCTTCTTCTTCTACTGTTTCATCTCCTTCATGTTCCATTTTAATTGTCACTTCTTCAAAAGTAATTTCATCATGAATTTCCTCATTGCAATCATCTACAGTCTTAACCGCATGTTTTTTATAAGATACTAGTGCCTCAGGTAAATCAATTATTCGATGAACTCGAAGTGCTTGTGATCTGCCCAAGACAATTTGTCCTGGAATCTCAGAAACTGTATGATGTAGTGTAACTTTCTTTGATGGACTAAACTCTAAATGAATTTCTCTATTCAATGGTGGAATTCGTCTTCTTTTCACCTTTAATGGCTTTGTGTTGCTCTTCTTGTCCGTTTTCTTGTTACCTGAAACAAAATGACAAATTTAATTAGAAATTTAATGACAGGGTACATTTTGTATTTATACATTTATATTGTACATTTTAAGTGTCTGATTACAGGTGATTATTTGATTGCAATATCGAGATACAGGTGAAATTTTGTATCTGAATTTGAATTAGTAGAAATTTTTACTAATTTGACTTAGTGACTGAATTTTTTGCTTTTTAATTAGTAAAGTTTAAATTAAATAAATAAATTCTTAACAATTACTAATTATTAGAAAAAATTACTAATTACTACTAAAATACACTAATTTAAAAGCAAAAAGTAAATTTTAAATTACTAAATTTAAGTATTAAATTAGTGGAAATTACTATTTATTAGTAAAATTTACTAAGTCGAGAGCAAAAAGTAAATTTTTAATTCGAAAAATTGCCTGATTCAACAAAAAAAAGTAAATTTTAGTAAAAAAATTAGTATAGTAGAAATTACTATTTATTAGTGAAATTTACTAATTGAGAAGCAAAATGTAAATTTTAGTAATAAATTAGTAAAAATTACTATTTATTAATAAAATTTACTGATTCACGATCAACAAGAAAATTTTAGTACCTAACAAATTAGTAGAAATTTACTTTTTACTTTTAAATTATTAAATTTTACTAATAAATAGTAATTTTTACTACTTTTTACTAGAACTGACTATTTATAGTAAAATTTAATAATTTAAAAGCAAAAAGTAAATTAGTAAAAAATTCTATTTATTAATAAAATTTACTAAGTCAAAAGCAATAAGTAAATTTCTAATTCGAAAAATTTCCTGATTCAAAAACGAAAGTAAATTTTATATTAGTAATAAATTAGTAGAAATTACTATTTATTACTGAAATTTACTAATTGAAAAGTAAAATGTAAATTTTAGTAATAAATTAGTAAAAATGACTATTTATTAGTAAAATTTACTTTTTGCTTTTAAATTATTAAATTTTACTAATGAATAGTAATTTTTACTATTTTTTACTAAAACTGACTATTTATAGTAAAATTTAATAATTTAAAAGTAAAAAGTAAATTTTTGCTTTAAAAGTAATAAATTAGTAGAAATTTCTATTTTTTTAGTAGAATTTACTAATTCAAAAGCAAAAAGTATATTTTAAATTCGAAAAATTGACTAATTCAAAAGAAATAAGTAATTTTTAGTAATAAATTAGAAGAAATTACTATTTTGTAGTAAAATTTACTGATTTAAAAGCAAAAAGTAAATTTTAAATTCGGAAAATTTACTAATTTAAAATGAAAAAGTAAATTTTAGTAATTAATTAGTAGAAATTACTATTTATTAATAAAATTTACTAATTAAAAAGAGAAAAGTAAATTTTCAATTTGTAAATTTTAGTAATAACAACAAAAAAAAGTAAATTTTAGTAAAAAATTAGTAGAAATTACTATTTATTATTAAAATTTACTGATTCACGATCAAAAAGAAAATTTTAGTATAAAATTAGTAACAATTTACTTTTTGTTTTTAAATTATTAAATTTTACTAATAAATAGTAATTTTGACTAATTTTCACGAAAATTGTTTATTTATTAGTAAAATTTAATAATTTAAAAGCCAAAAGTAAATATTTACTTTTAAAGTAACAAATTAGTAGAAATTACTATTTTTAGTAAAATTTACTAATTTAAAAGCGAAAAGTGAATTTTAAGTTAGTAAATTTTAGTAATAAATTAGTGGAAATTACTATTTATTAGTTAAATTTACTAACTAAAAAGCAAAAAGTCAATCACTAATTCAAATTAGTAAACATTTTTACTAATTCAAATTTAGAAATAAATTTTTGAGTCTTAAAATAAGTAAAATTTGACTAAAAAGGAAGGCACATACATAAAAAGAAATGTTAACTAATAGTAAAATGGAAAAATGTAATCAAATCAGTTCTGTTTTTTTCCAAAAAGTTTGTTTTCTGTAAAAAAAACAGTATAGAAAATAAATTCAAAAAATAAAATTTTAATGGGAGGAAAATATTACTATAATATACAATTTGATTAACATCGAAATTTATGACAATTGACAAGTTATTTATTACAATAGAAAAATATAAAATTATACATATATAAAATAAGGAAAGACTTAAGTAATTTTCTTTTTCTATTTACAAAAATTATTGTTACTTAATTTACAGTACAAAAATGTTCAAAACAAATTTACACAATAATATTTTTTTTTATTACAATTATTTTATACTATTGCTTCCACATAGAGAAAGTACTGTTGTCACACTTATTTGTTTACTATTAAAAAATAGTAAGAGAGGGAAAAAAAGTAGTGACGCGGGGGAAAAAAGACTCGCGCAGTCGCTGTGCGCCTTTTTTTTCCCCCGCCTACTTTCTACTCACTTTCCTATTGGTGGAAAATGGCGCGCTTATTCGAAACACTTTAATATAAAAAAATGTCAACAAAAACTATTTTTACCCCTGAAATTGAATTGTTTAGTAATATATTTTCCAAATTCGAATCGATACATTAATTTTACTAAATTTGTTTAAGGTTAATATTTAGTAGGAATAATTTTCAAAGACCTTAGAGAGTAAATATTTTCTGCAAATGTATTCAAATAAAATACTTTAGAAATCTATATTCACATTTTTAAAGAATAACACAAGTGAATGCTTTTTTAAAAAAAATTTTCTTTTTGACTATATTGAAAATATTAATTGTCATCGATTATTATTACTTTGTTATTAATTAAAAAATTCCAATTTTATTCCAACCAAATATTAGGCGTTAAATAATTTAATAAAATTAATCCTCACTGGATTAATTTTAAAAAAATTACGGAAATAAAAAAAAATCAATTTGAGAGATTAATATTTTGGAAATTCGTTTTCTTTTGATAAATGTATTAAAGCAGTTGAAATAAGAGCGGGATTTTTTCTACCAATGAGAAAATAGTGGCGCAGGCGCTGTTAACAACGACTAGAAGCAACTGCGCTTGCGCCACTGTCAGCGCGCATGCGCTAAACGACAATGACAACAGAGGGGACGTTAGATTACTAGCTGCCTTTTTCTATCGACCTGACGCTTCAAAATTAGTAATTTTCTACTAATCTGCGTGTTTTTTTGTATTTTTAACTCCAAAATTTTTACTTTAACACTCACATTGCAAAAAATTTACTTCTTAAATAGGAATTTACTTCTTAAAAGGAAAAAAAATTTAAGGAGTAAAAAAATTTGGGAAGTAAATAGGAATTTACTTCCTCAGTTTTTTACACTGTGAGTATTAAATGTTTTTTTGCTTTATAAAGTAAAAAAAAATCTTTTTACTCTATTTACATTGTAAATAATTGATTCAAGGGACCATGATGTCGTTTTTTATGATTTTCAATGCACCACTTGTGGGGACTCTTATAATTACAAAGATCACAATTAAATTTTGGTTTCGCATTAATACATTCAAATTTTCGATGCCTCCACAATGATCTCTGAACAGCATAACTTTTTCCACAATTATCACAGACAAATGATCTTTTTCTCGAGTCCATGTGCGTTCCATGCATCAGAGATGAATCGTCGCTGAGATTCGAACTCATTGGATATTCACTCGACGAATTGTACGACCAAAATTCATCTGAAATCAAAAAAATGAAAATATAAATCTGAAAAACAGGAAAATAGAAAAGTGAAAGTAATTTTCAAAAAAAAAAAAAAAAAAATTATAAAGAAATCTTTAATATAATATTGATAATTATTGATAGAAAAAATACCTTCTTAAATGTGATTAAAAAAAATTTACTCATGTAAGTAAAAAGAATATAAGAAGTAGAAGATTTAAACATCAAAAGTCCTAAATTATTCGATATACTCTAAATACAATATACTTTATTTTCTGATATTTTCTTTTCATTTTACAAACGTATTACAACAGTTAAGAAAAATTTCTTCTTTTAACAAAATGTTTTACAATCTTTTTAAAATTATCTTACATAATTTTTTCAGTAAAAAAAATTTCTTCTTTCAGTAAAATCTTTTACATGTCTTTTTACATAATCATTCGTTATTTTTCAGTAACAAAAAAACTTTCTCTTTCAATAAAATCTTTGCACATTTTTTTTTCCAAAATCGTTTCAAAATTATTTAATATAATTTTTTCCTAGTAAAGAAAAATGAGTTTTGCGAACAGATGCGAAATTTTTGACAAAATTTGTCAAAATTTACCAGAACTTGACAGAATTTGACAATTTTTACTTTAAAGTCGAAAATTTGAATTTCATTCATTGGAAAATTGCACAATATCAGTAAAAATTGTTCATTGAAACATTAACAATTGATTTTTTTTTCTTGTGCTTCTATAAAGCATTAACGTCTACAAATGATGAATGTTCTTTGATAATGTGATATTTCAGTAAAGTGTTGAGTCTCGCTCTGTGAGTACAAAAAGGACAGGGATAAAGTGGTTCCATTTTGCAAAAGTAGTTCATATGCTTTCTCAGACTTCGCCAATCGCTGTACGGTTTTTTACATTTCAAACACAAAAGATCAGTCTTGCAGCGATGCCAAACGTCACGTGGTAATGTGTCGCAATAAAGCTGAAGATAAAACTCTGAAACAATTCAATGTTTTTTTCCTTTTATTAAAAACAATAATTTACAATTTTTTTTTTCTTGAAAAATTAAATCACGCTTTTTTTTTAGGAAAAATTGTTCATATTTTATGTATTATAATAATATTAAGTATTATATTTAGTGACGCACACCGAAGAAAGATATCTAAGATGAAAATCATTTTAAGGTTATGTTTGTACTATTTTTATTTTAATCATTTTAATTAAAAGTTTTTGTTAAATTTTATGAAACTAAAAAAACAGTTTTTGCCGAATATTTTTGATCGAATAAAGACATAAAGCAGAATTTTATAGTAAAAAAAAATCCTTCTTTTTATTTACTCTTCATTCCAAAAATTGCAAACATAACCTCAAAATTTTGACTTCCTTTCTTTGGAGAAAATCACAAATATTATAATATTAATAAATATGAAAAAATATAATAATTATTATAAATATAATATATAAACAATTTGTTCAATAATCTAATTTTTATTTTTCATGCAAATACTGTAAGAAATTTTTTTTCGAAAAATGCTTTCTTTCTGTGTCATTTTTTTTTGGGAATAATTTGTAAATTTATAAAGTGGATGTAATTACAAAGACATTTTGAGGAAATATTCAAATTTTGTGAATAGAATGTAAATGCCGTTGGAGATGCATTTTTTGACTAAAGGCCCATTCACACAAGTGGCAGAAAAAGTTTTTACGTCCTCCACACTCGAGTCGCATGTGTTTCGCCAAATTGTGCTGCAAAGTATAGGACTTTTCACAATTTGGACACTGAAATCTCCTCTTGTTTGAAGATTCGTCACTTTTACCAAATCTCCTCTCTTGATTCGGTTGATTTCCGAATAAATTCAAAAAAGTTTGTCCTGGAAAAAAAAGTTATTTAAAAATTAGAAATTTGGACTTTTTTCCTCGCTCCTAGGAACATAGAAAAAAAAAATTTTCGATGCAAAAAGAGAAATACATTTACTAGCACCTATTTACATTCCATCCTCTCTTTAGTTCTGATTTCTGAAAACAAAAATTTCGCCAAAGAAAAATTGGGTCAAATTCGACAGTAACTTAATTTTTTTTCAATTTTTATTTTTTCGGATGTAAAAATACATTTTTTTTTGATACACAATTCGTATACTCGTTTTTCTCGTTTCCTTATAAAGCTTTTTTTTTGTAATAAAATACAGAGTTGAAAATTAGAAAATTGAAAATTTACAGTTTTAATTTAATAATTAAAAAAGAAATGCCCTAAAATATTCTAAAAAATTGGTTTAAAAACCCCTTTTATTTAGATAAACTTTGTGTATACTGAATAAATGCTGTTGCAAATTTAATTTCCGAGTGAAACCACGCTGGCAAATATTGCAAACAAAAGTCTTTTTTCCGCCGCACTCCATTTTTCTGTGCCTCTTTAGATTGCCTTCTTGGGAATATGATTTGTCACAATTTGGACAGTGATATCGGATTTTTTGTCCTTGGCCATCTTGACACGATAGGTCTTGATTTACATAATAGCCAGACACTGAAGGTGAGCTCAACCAACATCCGTCTGAAAAAAAGAATTACAATTAGTATAAATTGAAAAAGGGGGGAAAATATTTTATTGTTAAATATTTAAAATTAAGTTTAAGTTTATAGATTAAGTTTATAAAGAGATTGTGTAATTTATATATAAAGAATAGTTTCGAATATACAGTGTTAGGTTACATGAGAATAAGCTCTTAGATTATTTTCTAATTAAATTAAATTGAGAAAAGATTTCCTTTTTTGATAATTTTTATAGTGAAAAAAAAGTATAAAAAGTATTTTTGCATTCTTTTTACAGTATATTTGAAAGTGGTTTAATTTCTTCACTTGAGAACGCCAAGGTCACCGGCAGATGGCAGCAAAAATTCCAAGAAGTCCAAGGACTTCTTGGAATTTTTGCTGCCATCTGCCGGTGACCTTGGCGTTCTCAGGTGGAGGAAAGTGTATCTCCATATTAAATCTCTAGAATTTTTACCTTCGCCTTCAAAAGAGAGAAATTAATTAATAAAACTTACTGCCAAGTAAAAAAAAAATGTATTGAAGAGTAAAAAATACAAATTTCGGTACTTATGCTAGGAGCAAAATTTTATGAAGATAAAATGAAGACAACATAGCTTCAAATGTGATATTTTTAATTATAAATCGTTTTACAGATTCAAATGCATAAAGTTGCTTAGAGTATAACTATAAAGTAAAGTGGATAATAATAATAAATAATACTATAATAGTATTTTAACATTTTTCTTTTCTATATAATATTTTTCGGTGTATACTTTGGTTTTGAATTTTAAGTACTACATGTCCTACTAACTCATTAATTGTTTATTGACGTAGATTTTTAATACTACTATTATATATTTCAAGTAGAATATAAAAAATTTATTTTATTTCTTTAACATAACGTAAAAAATTTATTTATTAAATTCCTTTTAATCACCAACTTAACTTTTAGCTTTCTAGTTTGCCTTACAAAAAATTATTACTATTGTAAGTGCATCGAAACATTTCAAAAAAAAAACTGTCAACGAAATAAACTCGATTTAAAAAAGAATTTTTAATATTTAGAAATATTTGCAAATTATTTCAAATGACCAGGATGTAGGCTCACTAAATGATAAGTGAGTCGATAGCGATGATAAAATTTACGATCACAATAATTGCAAGCAAATTGCGGCTCCTTCTGACAAATGTAACGTTGATGTCTCACTAAATCACGATAATTAACATAGCAACGATTACAAGTTGAACAGGAATATTTTTTTTCTCCTGAATTTTCAAAATTACCACCACTTGGTGGCAATATGGGTAGAATAATTTTACTTATATTGACTTGTGGTTTTTTAATGACAAATTTTTCACTATCAAATTTTTCCAATGGTTTCTTTAATTTTTTGGTTCTTGAACGTCGCTTTTTCGATGGCGAACGTCCACCACATTCTTTTCTCTGATGTTCTGAGAAACGAATTTTCAAGTGAAACAATTTTCCGCAATTCCCACAAATATAGGGACCTTCACTTGGTCTTCCTCTTCTTTTCTTCGGAACATTCGTTCGTGTCGGAATGAGTTCCCAAAGGTTTTGATAGTCTGGAAAAATTTTAATGAAAATATTAAAAATTTTTATACAATTCCATAGTTTACAAATAGTTTTTTTGGTCATTATTATAGAAAAATGATATTGACTTACACATTTAAGGAGAGGAAAAAACGTGTACACTACAGTTAAAAAACATTTAGGAGTATAAAAATATAATTGGGCGCCTTGGAAGGTTTCAGCCTTGAAACGAAAGCTTATTTTTTTGCAAATTGTTAAAGTAAAAGTAACTGATTGAAAAATAATTAAAAATATAATACTGTTTTAAATATTTTTACTTTTATATTTATTCAACTCACTTTTTGGAACTAAATTTTCGTTTTCAAGATTTTTTCAAAATTCAATTTCGAATGCATTTGGTTTGAGTATATTTTACAAAATTTAAAGAAGATGTTTCAATTGATCAGAATGGAATACTCTTTATTGTTACATTCTGTTTACAAATGTTTACATTCACTGGTTTCAAAAAAGAGGAAAAGTTGATACACGCTGTGAAGTCGTTAATTTAATTAATACGATACAATTTTATTTTTCTAAGTTAATAACTCCTGCAGTGAAGAAAAAATTTGATTTAAATAATCGATTACTTGTCTATTCTCAAAATAAATATTTACTCAATTCAAATAATTTTTATTTAATTCAAATACTTACTGAATTTAAATATTTATTAAATTCAAACATTTATTAAATTCAAACATTTATTTAATTCAAACATTTATTTAATTTAAATATTTATTTAATTCCAACATTTATTTAATTCCAACACTTATTTAATTTAAACATTTATATTTAATTCAAATAAATTAGGTTTGAACCAATAATTTTAGTATTTGAAGCAAACTCACTTTGAATGACCTCAACAATTATTTGATACAAGTAAATAAATTTTTACTGAATTTTCAAAATTGACAATCGAAAAGTAATCGCAAATTTGAATCAAACACATTTTTTTCAATGTTTACATTTAATTCTGATTTTGGAATTCTAAAATTATTAAATTATCAAAGAGTACAATATTGTTATTGTAAATTCTATTATTTATTTTTAGGACGTCGATATGGATTATGGAACTATTTTTATAGTTTATTTAAAATCACGTTCAATTTTTTTGGTTCGCCTTAAAAATTTCTTTGAACATACAGATTGAAACAGGTATATATGTGTATAATGGTAGAGATAATGTAAATTCACTTAGCTAATTGTTATTTAAAATATATTGACTATTGAAATAGTTTCGATGTTAAACATCTGTTTTTAGTTTTATGAACTAAAAGTTTTAAAAAAATATAAAGGAAAATAGGTTATACCAATATTTTCTGACTTTGAAAATAAAAAGAAGTGACTATGACACTCCTTTAAAGAATTTATGGAAATTTTTAAGAAATAAAAAAATAAAATTTAGAAACAAAAATAAAAAAATAAATTCATTTCATAGAAATTTTGATTCATTACACAATAAAATCACGTTGCACTCGGCAATTTCGCATTATTTTCATTAAAGAGATTTAAAACAAAGTAAAACTTTGTCAAAATTTTTGCATCACTAATTAAAAATTAAAAAAACAATGTTTATGCAAAAGAGTTAAAATCACTTTCTGGTTGTTAACCCCAGAAGGGAGTGGAAATCTCACAAACGCTGTGCTCATCTGTAATGGAGAAATTTAATGTTTAGTGAAACTTTTTTTGTTTAGTATTTTTTGTTGTTGTATAAAAGCAGTATACCTTCAATAACTTCGGTTTTAGTCGCAGGGACAGTGCTAGTGCTTTGTTTATAGAGAAATGCTCTAGGTCTGCCTACTCTTTCGATTCGGAGATGTTCCGGTATGTCAATGTCAATTATTTCGTTTGCAGATTCAGGTAAATTTTCTTCTTTCCTAGATGGATTGCCAGTATTTTGAGCGTAGATGAAAGTTCTACCTCTTCCTCTTCTTTTTGATGCTGTTTCATATAAATTTATGCATTTTTATAATTATCAAATAGTAACTATTTCAATTTTAAGTTTTCAAGTTCGAGCAACGCTCGGAATTAAATTATTATAAAGACAACAACGTAGATCAACGAACAAAAATATTCAATTTTTTATGACGCAAACAATTAGTTTCTTAAATACTTCAGTCTTTTTTGTTTTGAAGCAAAAGGCATAAAATCGAAAAACTACTCCTAACTCCAGAGGACATTTAGTTCCTCAATTATTTACAGATGTAGTGTCGATTTTAATTTTAACAGATGTACGAAAGAAGTAAAATTATTATTTCAAAGAAAAAAATTTATATTATTGATATCGTACGCGTTGCTCGAACATTGTAGCATTTTACCTTTTGTTCTTCATCATCTTTAGTTGACTTACCTTTACTTCTTCGTGGGGAATATTCTTGCTGCATTTCTTGTTCCTCTTTCGGATAATTCACTCCTTTTTCATTTACAGCCGTTTGTCGTTTATAGACAGGCTGTTTATAGATGAAAGTTCTTCGTCTGCCTCTTCTTCCTGCGGGAATTTCACATAAAAAAAAAGAAGTGAAAAGAATTTTTTTTTCAGAGGTGTGCTTAAAAAATTTTAAGCGTTACATTCAAATTCGTCAAATAATGTTGCTACACTGAAAAAAAATGTAATTGATTCCAATTAGCGATTAATTGACTAATCAATGAAATATTTACTTGAATCAAATAATATTTATTTGGAGTCAATTAAACGGTATTTGAACCAACAATTTTAGTATTTGAAGCAAATATGAATTGAACCATTTAATTGACTACAATAAATATTATTCGGATTCAAGTATAAATATTTAATTGATAATAGGCAATTAATCGGTTATTTAAATCAAATAAATTTTTTTTCAGTGTATCATCCCACGAACTTACCTCTAATTACTGGTACAGAATATTCCTCCTCGTCATCGTCATCCTCGTCATCATCCTTTTCTTCTTTATACTCCTCTTCATTATCGTCCCCTTCATCTTCATCTTCTTCTTCTTCATCATCATCATCAAGATTTTTATAGAAAAAAGTTCTCGGTCTGCCTGGTTTGCTCCTTTTTTTTCTCATATTAGCTGGCGTATATTTATATTCACCTGAAAAATAAAATAAAATCTCGGAGAAAGTGGACGTAACGTCCCCTCTGTTGTCCTTGTCTTTTAGCGCATGCGCGCTGATGGTGGCGCAAGCGCAGTTGACCGCGCCTGCGCCACTCTCTCTCTCTCTCATTGGTCAAAAAAACCGCTCTTATTTAAACTGCTTTAATACATTTATTAAATGAAAAACAATTTCCAAAATATTAATCCCTCAAATTGATATTTTTTATTTCCAGTAATTTTTTTTTCCAGTCAGGATTAATTTTATTAAATTATTTAACGCCCAATATTTAGTTGGAATAATATTGAAATTCTTTAATTAATAATAAAGTAATAATAATCGATGACAATTAATATTTTCAACATAGTCGAAAAGAACAATTTTTTTTAAAAAAGGATTCACTTGTGTTATTCTTTAAAAATGTAAATATAGATTTCTAAAGTATTTTATTTGAATACATTTGCAGGAAATATTTGCTCTCTAAGGTCTTTGAAAATTATTCCTACTAAATATTAACCTTAAACAAATTTAGTAAAATTAATGTATCGATTGGAATTTGGAAAATATTATTACTAAAAATAGTTTTTGTTGCCATTTTTTTATATTAAAGTGTTTCAAATAAGCGCGCCATTTTCCACCAATAGGAAAGTGAGAAGAAAGTAGGCGGGGGAAGAAAGACGCGCGCAGGCGCAAAGCGGCTGCGCGAGTCTTTTTTCCCCCGCGTCACTACTTTTTTGCCCTCTTTTACTATTTTGTAATTTGTAATAGTAAATAAATAAATTTTTTAACACAAAAATACTATTATTCAAAAATAATTAATGTTTCTCTTTAAATTTTTTTTTTAATTTTAATTTAAAAAAATATTAATTAATTTGCAAACCATTGAAAATTTATCTACATTACACCATTATTTTCTTTATTTTCGATAATTTTATTTAAAAATATTTATGTTTTCTTTTGAAAATTTTTTCAAACTTAATTTTTGTTTCCAAAAAAAATATATTCAAGTTGAATGCGTAGTTTTCAGATTAAAAATTCTTTTATAATTACCAGGAATAACTTTTCTTGATCTTAAAATTTTAATATCGGATTCTGCTGTCAAGTTTCCAGCATCCACTTCAGGATTATCTATAGAAAATAGCAGAAATCCAGCTATTAATTATTGAAATTTAATTTATTATGAAATTTGTTGAAATTTATTGAAAAATAATTACCTTTCAAACTTCTAACATTGAGAATTTTGTTTTCTTCTATTAATTGTATATCAGATTTGACTCGAATCCTTCCAATGTGAATTTTATCTGCAAGAGAAAATTAATTACAAAAACTAAAAATTAAAACCAATGTTCAATTTTAAGTTCCCTTTTTTATTTCATTTTATTTATTTAAATTTTCTTTTTTTGTGATATCATCTTTTTGTAAAAATTCTTCAATTACCTTTTTTTTCATCAATTTGTCCTTCTTTCTCGCTCTTGAATTGTGAACAGCCACTCATCGAATACTTGGATTCGTCTATAAAATAAAAAACTTTGTCAGTCGTGGCAACAAAAACCTCAAGAGTATACAATAAACATCGAAATTAATTTTAAATTAAATTACTATCAAATTTTTTATTTTTTCCATCATTTTGGATCGACATTTTGAAATTTGATATGCGAGGGAAAATCTAACAAAAATGGATTTGAATTTAGTGGATGAAATACATTATAAAGATTTCTTGTCTTTTTGGTGTTCAAAATTTAAGCTGAATTTGTAAAACTGTGTAATTATTTTTAATTAATTATTATTATTAAGTCTGCAAGTATTTTTCAATGAATTATTATGAAGATCTGTAATTATTATTCAATTGATTATTATGAGGGACTGTAATAATTTTTCAATTAATTTTTATGCAAGTCTGCAATAATTATTCCTGATTATTCAACAAATTACTCTTTAAATTTCCTTTAGTAAGAATGTTTACTAATATGTATTAGTGACTGACTTTTTGCTTTCGAATTAGTAAACTTTGCTAATAAATTAGTAGCGTTTACTATTTATTAGTAAAATTGCTAAAAAAATTAGTAGAAATTACTATTTAATAGTAAAATTGCTAAAAAAATTCTAGAAATTACTATTTGATAGTAAAATTGCTAAAAAAAAATTAGTAAACATTACTATTTAATAGTGAAATTGCTAAATTGCTAGAAAATTAGTAGAAATTACTATTTAATAGTAAAATTGCTAAAAAAAATAGTAGAAATTACTATTTAATAGTAAAATTGCTAAATTTCTAGAAAATTAGTAGAAATTACTATTTAATAGTAAAATTGCTAAAAGAATAGTAGAATTTACTATTTAATAGGAAATTTCTAAATTGCTAGAAAATTAGTAGAAATTACTATTTAATAGTAAAATTGCTAAAAAAAATTAGTAGAAATTACTATTTAATAGTAAAATTGCTAAAAAAATAGTAGAAATTACTACTTAATAGTAAAATTGCTAAAAAAAATAGTAGAAATTACTATTTAATAAGAAATTTCTAAATTGATATAAAATTTGTAGAAATTACTATTTAATAGTGAAATTGCTAAATTGCTAGAAAATTAGTAGAAATTACTATTTAATAGTAAAAATGCTAAAAAATTAGTAAACATTACTATTAAATAGTAAAATTGCTAAATTTCTAGAAAATTAGTAGAAATTACTATTTAATAGTAAAATTGCTAAAAGAATAGTAGAAATTACTATTTAATAGGAAATTTCTAAATTGATATAAAATTAGTAGAAATTACTATTTAATAGTAAAATTGCTAAAAGAATAGTAGAATTTACTATTTAATAGGAAATTTCTAAATTGATATAAAATTAGTAGAAATTACTATTTAATAGTAAAATTGCTAAAAGAATAGTAGAATTTACTATTTAATAGGAAATTTCTAAATTGCTAGAAAATTAGTTGAAATTACTATTTAATAGTAAAATTGCTAAAAAATTAGTAGAATTTACTATTTATTAGTAAAATTGCTAAAAAATTAGTTGAAATTACTATTTATTAGTAAAGTTTGATAATTTATTAATTCAAAAGCAAAAAGTCAGTCAACAATTCTAATTAGTAAATATTTTTAGATTTTTACTAATTAAAATTTAGAGACTAAATTTATTAAGGCTGCTAGAAAGTAAATGAACACGCAATGAAAAAAATTGAAGAATATAATAAAGAAACCAGTTTATTGGCATTGTTTTTTTCTGTAATATAATACAAATTTACAGTTGATTGCGGTCGACATGCTTTGCGAAAACATGCTTCATTAAATTATCCTTATGTCTAGATCTGTGCGGACAATAGACGCACTGAAACATTGGTGGAACATTGCACTCATATTTTCTATGTCTTATTAAACCTTGTCTCCACTTGTACGTCTTTCCACAGGTTGTACAAGAATATTTATTCAAATTTGTTTTCAGCCTGAAGTTTCCTGAAAAGAAAAAATATTTCTTATTAATTTACTAAAAGAAAATTAATAATAATATTACTACTTTTATTGTGAACAATTCGTCAGTGGTTAACATAATGGTTTTTTTTTATTGGAGTATACAAAGCAGTACAAACATATTATGCAGAGAGACGTGAGAATGAGACAAGAAGCTCCAAAATAAATTTTAACGAGTACAATAATTAATACGCATTTTCGTTTGGGTTTGGAGTTAATAAAAATACATTAATAAAGAAATTATTACCTCTGTCTGAAAAAGATACATTAATATTTTGTAATTAAATTTAGACGTAAAGTTTTTAAATTTTACATTCTTAATTTTAACTTTTGTTAGAAAAAAAAACTTTTTGTTTGGAAAAAAAATATTTGATTTAAATACATAAGAAATAATAATAAATAAATAATTGGCTGTTATTAATATTAGAATAGTTATAATAATAACAATAATTATAATTATTATTATTCTTTTTTGTGATTTTTGTTTTTTGAAAAAAACAAAATTATTATTATTATTATTATTATTATTATTATTATTATTATTATTATTATTATTAATTATTATTAATTATATTACTTATTAACAATATTTACTTGAATTAAATCATTTTTATTTAAATCAATTAAACGGTATTTGCTTCAAATAGTAAAATTACAATTTGTACAGGTTTTACAAGTTTTTTGTACAAGGACAATAATTACAATAACGATCACAATAAATTTTAAATACAAAATAAAAATTAAATTGAAATAAAAATTATTTCTTTTCAGATTGATGTAGACATGAGAGTTAGTATATTATTCGAATATTTTATTCATTCCCAAGAAGAAGACATTTGTTTAGAGATAAATTTTATTATTTATTTATTGCACTTTTCTCACAATGAGTCTTAAAAAAAATCTAATTTCAAAATATTCTTCTAATAATTATATTCCAAAAGTATATTATATACTAAAATTTGATTTTTTTTCCCTAACTAACAAATAAACATTTGGATAAATTTTAATTTCTACTGGAATAAAAAAATTACAAAAGATGATGTTAAAATCAAGAAAATTAAAAATAAATAAATAAGTGCTTTAAAAAGTACTTAAAAATACTAAAATGTATTTAAAAAATACTTGAATACTTAAAGTACTTTTCATTATTTGAAAATACTGAAAAGTACTTGAAATGCTCAAAAAGTACTTGAAATAATTAAAAGTACTTGAATCGTCTAAAAGGACTTGAAAGTATAAAAAAGTACATAATAATTTACAAACATTTATTACACTAAGAAAAAAAATTTATGTTTGGATTAAACGAATCGTTAATAGAATTTTGCTATAAATTAATAAAATATCTTACTAATTGTTAGTAGAATTTTACTATCAAAATGTAAAATTTTACTAATTTTTAATAGAATTTTACCAGGAATAAGTGAAATTTTACTAATTTCTTTGTATAATTTTACTATTAAAATTGTAAAATTTTACTAATTTCTTTGTATAATTTTACTAATTTCTTTGTATAATTTTACTATTAAAATTGTAAAATTTTACTAATTTTTATTAGAATTTTACTATAAATAAGTAAAATATAACTTTTACAAATTGTTATTAGAATTTTTCTCTCTTTGAATTAGCAAAAATATTTACTAATTGGAATTAGCAACTGACTTTTTGTTTTAACTAGTAAGTTTTACTAATTAATAGTAACTTCTACTAATTTATTAGTACAATTTACTAATTCAAAAGCAAAAATTCAGTTACTAATTTAAATTAATAAACATTTTTTACTAAAATTCTTTTTATCTTTACTAACTTTTTGTAGAATTTTACTTATTTTTAGTAGAATTTTACTAGCAATTAGTAAAAGTTTATTATCAATAGGTCAAATTTTACAAATTATTAGTAGAAAATTACTAACTTATAATAAGATTTTACTCATTTTTAATAGAATTTTATTAGATTAGTAAAATTTTACTAATTGTTAGGAGAATTTTACTTGATTAGAAAAATTTTAACAATTTTTAGTAGAATTTTACTATGAAGAAGAAAAATTTTACTTTTAGTTTTTAGTAGAATTTTTAATAAAATTTTACTATCACTAAGTATAGAATTTTGTTAATTGCTAGTGAAATTTTACCACAATTATGAAATTTGACTAATTGTTAGTAGAATTTACTAGAATGGTAAAATTTTACTAAATGTTGGTTGAATTTTAGTTATAAAAATTGAAACTTTACTGAAAATAAAATGTTTTTTAGTTCAATTTTACCTACTATTAGTAGAAATTTACTAATCGTTAAAATTTTTAGTAAAATTTTACTAGCAATTAAGTGAAGTTTTACCAATTTTAGTTAGAATTTGTACTAAAAAAATTTTTTAAAAAATAGAAAAAAAGGTAAAATAAAAAAAAGGTAAAAGGTAAAATATTTGTTTTAGTAAAATTTTACTGTTAGTAGAAATTTACTAATCCTTAAAATTTTTAGTAAAATTTGACTAGCAATTAAGTGAAATTTCTCACTGTAACAAAAATTTGAAACCTATTTATTGAAAATTAATAAATTAATATTTATTAATTAAACATTTGAAAATCGATAAAAATTGGACAAATTTCAAAATTAATATAATTTTTTTCGTAAAATTACATTTAATAATATTATTATTATTTCTAGACAACAATATATTATCATTAAAAATAAAATAATATTAAAAATAAATTAATTATAACGAGCAATTGGATTATTCGCAACCAAGTGGCATGTCGATAGTGCTCATTGTATCGATAACATAAATCGATTTGTCAATATGATTTCTGATAATATGCTTTTTGACGTTGATCTTTTGCTTCGTATAATAATTACAATAGGGACATTTGAATCGAGGTGCCAAACCACACTCGTAATTTAAATGACGTTGCAATGTTCCTAGTGATTTGTAGAATTTTCCACACTTTGAACAGACATAATCGCCATACATTCTCCTCGACGGGTCCATTTTATAATCACAATCTTCATAAGGATACGATGAATCCAAATTATCTGAAAAACACATATAATTTTAGTTAGAAACAATTTTTTAATTGAAATTTTCATATATTCTGAGAGAGAGGGGAGAACACAGTTTTTTTTTCTTAAAGCTCATTATAATGTTAAAAAAAATTTACGCATCTGAAATGGAAAAAAAGTTTTGAAGAAAAAAATTTTTTGTAGATTATGTACATATAGAAGAGAAAAGATTGGGGTACAGTTTTTCTGAAACGTATTTTCTAATTTTTTATTATCTACAAATTCTTTCTCTAATTTTTTTTATTCTTAAAGCATTATTTTCTATTTTTTTCTAATTTTTTCTATTTTTTCCTAATTTTTTCTATTTTTTTTCTAATTTTTTTTTAATTTTTTCTAATTTTTTCTATTTTTTTTCTAATGAAGGTGAAATTATACATTTTTTTTCCTAGTGAAGGTAATTTTCTAAAATTTTGTTTTTCTAGCAATTTTAAATTTCTACTAATAAATATGTGTAATTTAATTGCAATTAACTTGAAATTGTAGAAATCGTTTTTTATTATTTGCTCTTTTTGTTATTTGTAGTTTACAATTTGGAGAAAAAATGCGACAAAGAAAAATTTTGATTTGCAAAATACAAAAATTAAAAAAAATATACAAAATTATGTATAAAATATTGGAAATAAAAAATATTACCTTCCAATTTTGAATTGAATTTAATTAAAATTCAATTGAATTTCAACAAAATTCTATTTAATTTGATAAAATTTTTTTTAAAGTTTAGTATCTATATAAAGTTTCGCTTTAATTGTTGTATTTTTTGCAGTTTTAAACTTTATTATTATTTTAAATTAATGTATTTTTTATGCAACAAAGTGAAATTATGATATAAAAAATACTAAAATAAAAAAACAAAATTACTTATGAAGTTTAATAGAATTTTTTGAAAATTTAATTTTTTATTCGATTTCCGATATTTTATACAAAATTTCGTAAATTTTTTTTAATTTCCGTATTTTGTACATCAAAATTTTTCTTTGTCGCATTTTCTCTCCAAATTGTAAAATAATTTAATAAAATTTAATATTTACTTTCTTTCCATATGTAGTAAAAAAATGCTTGTCAATAAATCTTTAGTAACTCTCAATTAAAAAATACTTTTTTTGAAAAATTTTATGTCAAATTTCACAAGTTCCAGAAAAATAAATTTTAGAAATAAAAAAACTTGCCTGAAATTGTAAAATAAATTTCAGAAATCAGAGATTGATGAAAAAACTTTTTTTTTAGAAAACTGCTTTCATTTAAAAATTAATATTTTTTTTTTAAATTTTAATTTTAGAAAAAGGATTAGAAAATAAATTTTTAGAAAAAGTGACCTTTCAGAAACAAATATAAATATATATTTCTTCAAAGATTTTACTAAAATTTTTAACATTCAAATGAACGAATTTTTTTTCATAGTTTCAATAATTAAAATTGAATTGAAAAATAAAGTAAATTCAATATTCAAAGTTAAGAATTTGTTTTTTTTTAATATTCAAATTTGTATTTTATTTAAAGAAACATAGTTATTAATTTTTTTCATAAAATACAAATTAATAAATAACAAATTGAATAAAATAAAGAAAAATAATAAATATTTTTTTAAATAAAATACAATTTAAAAATAATAATAAAAATGTTGACGTTCATTTTTTTATTTTAGATTTATTTATTCAATGTTTCGAACCTTGAAATGAACGAGGATATTTTTATTACTTCTTTTAATTTAAATTTTATTATTACAAAATAATAATAATAAATAATTTTATTATTATTATGATTAAAAAATTAACTGAACGTTAAAAATTTTAGAAAAATTATTTTTCATGGAAAATTGAAAAAAATACTTTCTAAAAATCATTTTATAACACGCTAATCAAGATTTTATTGTAATATTGCAATAATCATTACATAATAAATTCTGTTTTTTTTTTTGGTTTTAATAAACATATGCACACTACTCATTTTTCAATAAACTCATAAATATTACTAAAATATCGTCAAGGAGTTGTTACTTTCAAACTTGAATAATATTATCCTATAAATATAAATATATATATATTTATATATGCATAACAAATATCACTTGATTAAAATAGTTAAAATTTTCCTATAAGACATAAAACTGAGAACTACATAATAATAATAATAAAAATTATTTGGTTTTCTTTTTGTTTTTGTTTTTCTTTTTCTTTTTACGATTCTAAATTAATATAATAGGATTTCTGATCGGGATGCTTTTTTCTAATGTGACAATAAATTTGACTCGTTTGCTTGCTACGTAGATCGCAATATGGACAGCCAAAACGTGGTTCCTGACCGCATTCATATTTGTAGTGGCGATTGCGATTTCCCTTCAATGTAAAACCACGTTTACATTTTGGACAGAAATGTAAATTTTTCCCCGTTCCATCATCAACATTCTCACCGGGCTGATCATAACTGACAAACGAATCCAGTATCGTAAAGTCTGAAAAAATAAAAATCATATCTTTATTAATACAAAAATTTCTTTTTTTATACAATATTAGATAAACCAAAAAAATTTCTCTTTTTTTCTCACTATATTAAAAATTTAAAAAAAAATTCACTTCTGGATTATTCTCATGCTGAAAAAAAACCATGCAAAAAAAAAATTATTAGAAAATATATTAATAATATTAAAAATATTAAAAAACATTATAAGTATAAAAAAAATATTATAAATATTATAAATATTAAAAAATATTATAAATATTAACAATATAAAAATTTTTATAAATATTATAAATATTATAATTATTAAACATATTAAAAATATTAAAGATAATATTATAAGTATTAAAAAATATAATAAATATAAAAAATATTATTTGAAAATGAAACATTTTTCGTCGCTTTAAGTATTAGTTTATTTCGAATTATATATCATAAATGGAACACAATTTTTTTTTAATAATAAAAGTAGTATGATTACTTTTTCAGTCAATAAAGTTTGAAATACTTTTTTAAAACGATTTTTTCTAACATCTACTTCATACAATAATTTTCTTCATTTTATAAATATCATTACTCTCTAAATCTGAATTAGTGGAAAATTGCTAATGAAATGATAAAAAGTCGTCGAGCATTTACTTTAGTAATAATTTTAAGAAAAATCAGTGAAATTTTATTATTAATAGAATTTTACTAGATTTGTAAAATTTTACAAATTTTTAGTAGGATTTTACTAATTATAGTTAATTGTTTTATTAATTAATTTTACGAATTTTACTAACTGTCAGTGGAATTTTACTAATTTTCAGTAGAATTTTACTAACTTTTAGTAAAACTTGACTAATTATTAGTATATTTTTACGATCGATAAGTAAAATTTTACTAATTGTTAGTAGTATTTTACTATCAATAGGTAAAATTTTACTATAAAAAAGTAAGATTTTTCTTTTAAATATTTAGTAAAATTTTACCGTTAGAAAAAATTTACTAATTGTTAGTTAACTTTTATTATCAATAAGTAAAATTTTACTAATTTTTATTAGAATTTTATGACAAATGAGAAAGAAGTAAAATATTACTGATTACTGTCAATAAGTAAAATTTTATTAATTGTTAGTAGTATTTTACTATCAATAGGTAAAATTTTACTGTTAGAAAAAATTTACTAATTGTTAGTTAACTTTTATTATCAATAAGTAAAATTTTACTAATTTTTATTAGAATTTTATTATAAATAAGAAAGAAGTAAAATATTACTGATCACTGTCAATAAGTAAAATTTTACTAATTTTTATTAGAATTTAATTATAAATAAGTAAAATAATTCTTTTAAAAATTGTTATTAGAATTTTACTCTCCAAATTTGAATTAGCAAAAATATTTACTAATTTAAATTAGTAACTAACTTTTTGCTCTTGAATTAGTAAATTTTAATAATAAATAGTATTTTTTACTAATTTATTAGTAAAATTTTCTAATTCCAATGCAAAAAGCCAGTCACTACTGCAACTTAATAAAATGTTTACTAATTCGAGTTTAAAAAATACTACAAATGAGTAAAATTTTACTTTTAGTTTTTAATTGAATTCTTTTTTATTTTTAGTAGAATTTTACTACTGATAAGTAAAATTTTATTAATTGATAGTAGAACTTATTTAAATTATATGGTTTTAAAAATAGCTTTTATCTTATTTATTATTTTTGAATTTTTATTGCATTAAAAGGATTGAAAATTTACTATTTTTTAATTTTCATTGTAGTAAAAAAAAAAATTCAAAATTTACTATATTTGAATTTTTTGTAGTTGCAAAAAATTGAAAAATTACTATTTTTGAATTTTTATTGCAATGAAAATTGAAAAAATTTACAATATTTGATTTTTTTGCAGTAAAAAAACTCAAATTAAATTAAAGAGTAATTTTCTTGCAGTAGCAAAAAAACTCAAAATTTACTATTTTTTAATTTTCATTGCAGTAAAAAAATAGTCATTTTTGTTACAATGTCAAAAAAATGAAAAATACTATTTTTTAATTTTTTTGTAGTAGAAAAAAATTTTAAAATTACTATTTTTTAATTTTCATTGCAAAGAAAATTTTTCAACTTACTATATTTGAATTATTTTGTAATAAAAAAATCAAATTGAATTAAAGAGTAATTTTCTTGCAGTAGCAAAAAAAAAAATTCAAAATTTACTATTTTTGTATTTTCATTGCACTGGAAAAAATTCAAAATTTATTACTTTTGAATTTTTTTTTGTAGTAGAAAAAAATTCAAAAATTACTATTTTTACCTTTACTTACTTTAAGTAGAATTTTACTATCAATAAGTAAAATTTTACAAATTGTTAGAAGAAAATTACTAACTTATAGTACAATTTTACTAATTTTTAATAGAATTTTACTAATGATTATTAGAATTTTACTAGAAATAAGTAAAATTTTACTTTAAGTTCAAAATGGAATTTTTTACTTTTAGTAGAATTTTACTACCTACCATTAAGTAAATGAACATGGTTTTAGAATTGCTTTTATTTTAAAAAACTTTTAGTAAAATTTTACTAATTCTTCTATTGGATTTTTCGAGCAATTAGTAAAATTTTACTCATTATTTGTAAGATTTTACTATAAATAAGTAAAATTTTGCGTTTAGTTCTTAATAGAATTTTTCTTATTTTTAGTAGAATTTGACTAACAATAAGTGAAATTTTACTAATTGTTAGTAAAACTTTACTAATTGTTAGTAGAATTTTACTAATTTTCATAAGAATTTTACTATAAAGAAGTAAAATTTTACTTTTAGTTCGTAGTACCTAGAATTTTTCTTATTTTTAGTAGAATTTGACTAACAATAAGTGAAATTTTACTAATTGTTAGTAGAACTTTACTAATTTTTAGCAAAATTCTACTAGATTAGTAAAATTTTACTAACAATTAGTATAACTTTTCCATAATAAATCGATAAAACAATTTTACGGATTCTTTCAGTGAATTAAATGACTAGAAATTTTTCGAAATTCTACTATTAGTAAAATTTTACTAATAATTAGTAACATTTCACTAATAAAAAAAAAGAAAAGTTGTTCATGAAAATTCCTAAAAATTATTGTAGTTTTCCTATTTTTAGTAAAGTTTGACTAATTCAGATCAGCCAAATTTTACCATTTTTTTACTAAAATTCTACTAATTCAGATTTACAGAGAGTATATGAATCTAAAAAATCAAAATAAAGTAAAAATTTATTTACAGTATGTAACGAGAAAATTGAAACGAAAAAAAACATTAAAAAAAAGAAATACTTGATGGAATTAATTTTACATTTTTCTTTTCTTTTTTTTTTTTTAATTATGTCTCGTTCCTTAGATTAATAACATAAGCATTTTGTCCACTGTGACGTGCTCTAATGTGAGCCAAAACATTGGAACTTTGCTTCGAACGAAAATGACAATGTGGACAGGAGAATTTTGGCGCTTGATTACACTCGTATTTAAGATGTCTATTCATATTGCCCTTAACGGCAAATGTTCGATCACACTTTGGACATTTAAATGGTTTCATTTCGGACGATTTTCCCGAATTACTTCGTGTCCTCGATGGCGAATAGTATTTTGAACTTGTTCCCTCGACCCCGTCTTTCCCTCCAAAAACGCTCGCACTCTCGTTCGACGATGACGAATGCAAAAAATAGTTGAACTCCACGTGTGGTAGGGGAAAACCTGTAATTTTAATAAATTTTTTGTCAAGAAAATGAGATTTATTATTTTTAGAAAAGAAACGATCCAGTGACAGCACAATAATGATAATAAATTTTGTTTTTTGTTTCAATAAGCATTTTTCTTATATAGAGAATTTTTTTTTAAAGAAAAGTTATTTTGTCGGCATAATACATTAAGACGTGAGAGAAGATAATAATTTTTTTGTAAATGGATTTTTTTGAATAAAAATTAATTTCTTTTTGAAAATAATTTTTATTCTAATAAATAATTGTAGTAAATAATTATAGTAAATAATTGGATATTCCTAAAGTTTTGAAACTTCAAATGAACAAAATTTCTTTTGTTTTTAGTTTCCAATCTAATTATAATATTGCGTGATAATACAAGTAATTAGTATAGTAATAATCTAATTCATAAATTTCAAATTATTTAATTTAGAATTTTCATTTTTATGGCACAAAAAAATTCAAAATTTACTATTTTTGAATTTTTATTGCAGTAAACAAATCAAAATTGACTATTTTTGAATTTTCCTGTCAGTAAAAAATTCAAAATTTACTATAATTCAATTTTTTTGAAGTAGAAGAAAATTAAAAATAGTACGTAGTTTTTCTTACAGTTGAAAAAAACTCGATAATAGTAATTTTATTGCAGTAACAAAAAAATTCAAAATTTACTATTTTTGTACTTTTATTGCAATCAAAATTTACTATTTTTGAATTCTCATTGCAAAAAAAATCAAAATTTACTATTTTTGAATTTTCTTTTCAGTAAAAAATTCAAAATTTACTTTATTAAAATTTTTTTGAAATAGAAGAAAATTCAAAAATAATCATTTTTCATGCCGTTAAAAAAAATTCGAGAATAGTAATTTTATTGCAGTAACAAAAAAATTCAAAATTTACTATTTTTGTATTTTCATTGCAATGGAAAAGATTCAAAATTTACTATATATTTGAATTTTTTGTTGTAGAAAAAAATTCAAAACTTATTGTTTTTTAATTTTCATTGAGAAAAAAAATTCAAAATTTTCTGTTTAAATTTTTTTACAACAAAAATAGTAATTTTATTGCAGTAGAAAAAAAATTAAAAACTTATTGTTTTTGAATTTTCATTGAATAAGGTTCAAAATTTACTATTTTTAAATTTTTTTCTACTACAAAAAAATCCAAATTTTACTATATTTGAATTTTTTGTTGTAGAAAAAAATTCAAAACTTATTGTTTTTGAATTTTCATTGAGGAAAAAAATTCAAAATTTTCTGTTTTAATTTTTTTACAACAAAAGTAGTAATTTTATTGCAGTAGAAAAAAATTAAAAACTTATTGTTTCTGAATTTTCATTGAAAAAGGTTCAAAATTTACTATTTTTGAATTTTTTTTTACTACAAAAAAATCCAAAATTTACAATAGATATTTGAATTTTTCGTAGTAGAAAAAAATTACTATTTTCATTGCAATGGAAAAGGTTCAAAATGTACTATTTTTAAATTTTTTTGTATTTTCATTGCAATTTGAAAAAAATCAAATTTTACGATTCTCAAATATTCATTGCAGGGAAAAAAAATCAAAATTTACTGTTTTAATATTTTTGCAATTAAAAAAGTTCAAAAATATTAATTTTATAGCAGTAAAAATTAAAACTAAAACTAAAAATTTATAAAATACTATTCTCGTATATTCATTGCAGTGGAAAAATTAAAAACTTATTGTTTTTGAATTTTCATTGCAGGAAAAAAATTCAAAAATTACTAAATTTGAATTTTTTGTAGTTAAAAAACTTCAAAAGAACATAGTCATTTTTATTTTAATAGCAAAAAAAATTCAAAATTTACTATATTTGAATTCTTTTGTAGTAAAAAAACTTCAAAAGTAGTCATTTTTATTTCAGTATAAAAAAAAATTCAATATTCACTATATTTGAATTTTTTGTAGTAGAAAAAACTTGAAAAATATTAATTTTTATTGCAAGAGAAAAAAATTCAAAGATTACTATTTTTGTATTTTGCAGTGATAAAAAATTGAAAATATATTATTTCTGTATTTTCATTGCAGTAAAAAATTCAAAATTTACTATATTTAAATTTTTTTGTAGTAAAAATATTTCAAAAGTAGTCATTTTTATTTCAGTAGCAGAAAAATTCTAAATTTACTATATTCGAATTTTTTGTAATAGAAAAAACCTCAAAAATAGTAATTTTTATTGCAGTAGAAAAAAATTCAAATAACCGTATTTGTATTTTTTCATAGTAGAAAAAAGCCTAAAAAATAGTAATTTGTATTGCAGTAGAAAGAAATTCAAAAATTACAATATTTGAATTTTTCTGTAGTAGAAAAACTTCAAAAGTAGTAGTAATTTTTTTGCAGAAGAAAAAAATTCCTATTTTTGAAAAAATTAATAACTAAAAAAGTATTTCGTTCATTTGAACTTTCCAATTTTTTTTTTCTTTTGAAAAGTTGGAAATATTAAATACAGATAAATTAGGCAACATCCTAATGTATTATACATGCCTTATTAATATTATTTTCAAACGCTAGTTTCTACTGAAAATAATTAGCAAATAGTAAACATGCTTTACATACGTATATATATAATAAAAATTAGTAGAAAGTAATTAATTTAGAGAAATATTAATATTTATTGATATTAAATGAAGTTTTGTCGTATCACTTATATTCTAGACGTGTACAAAAAGTTTTTGGCAGAGAACAATAATTTTAACATTACATATGTATAATTATCGTAATTATAATTATGAATAATGTCGCAACTATATGTAAAATAGCCTTAAGTATGCAACACGATTATTAATTAATAATTAATATTTAATACAGATATTGAGGAACAAATGTAATTGCGTGAATACTGCAGACGTATTTCGTATATTTTCAAAATTAAATTACAAGTAATACTTGAAGCTTGACATATTTGAATTAACTCTTTAAATCTGAATCAGGTATACAAATTTTAAATAATTGCAATCAGTGACGGATTTTTTTTTATTTGAAATCAGTTAAAATTTTTTTTACTGATAAATCAGTAAAAAAAAATTTTGTTCTACTTTTGTATCAGGAAATTTTAACTGATTTCAAATAAAAAAAGTAGAACAAAATTTTTTTACTGATGAATTTGTAAAAAACAATTTTCTACTTTCGTATCAGTAAATTTTAAATAATTTCACTCAGTGACTAACTTTATATTTGAAATCAGTTAAAATTGCCGATACGAAAGTAGAAAAAAATTTTTTTACTGGTGAATCAGTAAATCTTATCATGGATGTCAATTAAATTTGTTAAAAAAAAGACTGATTTATCAGTACAAATTTTTTTAATCACGAATCAGTCAATTTTATGAAGAAAATCAATTTTTCACTCTAAATTTGAATTAGTAAAAACTTGACTGATTTCAATTACAGTTTTTTACTGATAAATCAGTACATTTTGTCATCAATATCAATTTTGTCAATTGAAAATTACTAATTCTTTACTAAAAAAAAAATTTTCTATTAATGAATCAGTCAATATTATTATTACCTTTATTTATCAGTCGAAAATCACTGACGAATCAGTTAATTTTGCCATAAATATCATTTTTTTTTATTTGAACCAAAAAATTTTGTAATTAACAGAATTTTTTTTTGGTAAAACTTACAAATTTATCTGTTGGAAAATTTATTACTGATAAATCAGTCAGTTTTATTATAAATATAAATTTTATAATAGATTTGTTTATCATAAAATTTTATTATATAAAAATAATGATTGTTTTTCAGTAGAAATTTTTTTACTGACAAATCTTATGATTATCATTATTTTTTAAACAATATCAAATTCATCAGTATAAAATTTCTGATTTATTAGGAAGATTTTTTTTACTAATAAATCAGTAATTTTTATCAACAATATTAACTGATGATAAAAGTCTAAAAACTAATAAATCAGTTAAATTACCGACTTATTAGTAAATTTTATCATCAGTTGTACTGATGATAAAAATTACTGATTTATTAGTAAATTTTCTTACTCTCCAAATCTGAATCAGTGAAATTTGACTGACAATCAGTGATTTCATTGTCGCGATTTCAATTAGTAAAATGTCACTGATTCATTTTTAGAGAGTAGTAAAAAATATCTGATTTATTAGTAAACTTTTTTTTACTAATAAATTTTTATTTTATTTAATTTTTTTATTTTTATAATAAAAATTAAATTGATTAATAAATGTACTGATTTATTAGTAAAAAACATTTTACTAATAAATCAGTACACTTTTTCATCAATTTAATTTTTATTATAAAAAACTAATTTTTTAGTAATTAGTAAAAAATTTTAACTGACGAATCAGTCAATTTTACCAATTTCAAAAGCAAAAATTCAGTCACTGATTTAATTAAATTGAAATTGTAGCTGATTTACATAAGAGAACGGAACATTATTATGAAGTTGAGAGCAAACCGATTTCTTCATTTTTCTGGTACATCTTCATTGAAGTTTCTTAATTACGACAAATTTTTGTTCAAAAAGCTTATATTCTAGTCATAATGGTTTTATGCATAATTTCAAAAAGTATTCGAGTGCCGACACTTTTAATGTTTTAATATTTATCAACCGACCTTAATTATAATAAACCATCATTATTTTAGAAATAAAAAAAAAATTAGAAACGAAAACAAGTACACTTGAGAACCTATTCAGGTCTTTAACACAAACTTGAAAAAAAAAAACATAATTCGAAAATATTTTTATAAACTAAGGAAAAACACAAAAAAACTCTTTTTTAACATTTTTTTTTTTTTTCTTTTTCTTTCCGACCTTAATTATAATTTGTATTTTATTCTTTCTTTTCTTTTTCTTTCCGACCTTAATTATAATTTTTTTATTTTTTCTTTTTCTTTCCGACCTTAATTATAATTTTCTTATTTTATTTGTCATTTTTCTTCTTTCTCTTTGACTGATTCAAAAAAATATTTTTTTCCGATTTTTGAACTTAACTTAAAAAATCTGCGTGAACACTAGTCATGTGTCTATGAAGTACATGATCGTATTTAAATGCCTGATTACAAAATGGACAAATAAACGAAGGAGTGGTATTACATTCGTGACGTTGATGACGACGTAAATTACTACGCGACGCATAACTTCTTTGACATACTTCGCAGGTGAAATTTTTTTGCGTTAATTTTTGATCGAAATGCTCACTAAAAATATGATCGAAAAGTACATCTCTACGCGAGAATTGAACACCGCATTTATCGCATGGAAATAAAACGTCATTAGCTACTGCTGCTGTTGTTGTTGTTGTTGGTGTTGTTGTTTGTACTTGATGAAAAAAGCCGAGATGTGAAATATCATCAATTTCCCCATCATCTTCATATTCACTTTTCGATTTATTCCCTATTTTCTGATCAATTTTCCCCTTATTATTATTTGTGATTGATCTTGTCTTTCTCCGGGGAATTAATTCTTCTTCATCGTCTTCGCCTTTTTCGTCTTCTTCCTCTTCTTTATCTGTTATTGGAATAATTTCTTCATCTACAAAAAAAAAGAAAAAAGTTTGAAAATGAAATCAGGTGTTTTTTTTCTTTTATTCAGGTGAAGAAATTATTTTTTATCGAATTACATGCGTTTTTTTTTTTGTTGTTTTGTTTTCCCAAAAAAAGAATGTTTTGATAGGTGAAGACAGAAGACAGAAGCAAAATGTATTTCATTCAGTTAATTAAGCTTTGGTGAATTTTAATTATAAACTATGATTTTTCTCCAAAATTGGGAAATTCGATTAATATAAAAATAAAAAAAAAAATAAAAAAAAATGAATAAATAAAAATGAATACAAAATTAAAATTAAAAATAATTAAAATCAATAATTTCATCGTGTAGAAAATACTGATTTATTACTAAAAACTGCTTTTTACTGATCTAACAGTCGAATAATAATAAATAATTTTTGTAAATTAATAATATCAGTTGAAAATTCGTATTTCGGAATAAACTTTTTACTAATAAATCAGTAAATTTCACAACTAATACGAAGTTTATTAAATTAAAAAATTATTGTTTTATTAGTGAAAACATTTTTAACTAATAAATCAGTCAATTTTATCATAGATATTAATTTTGTCAATTAAAAATTACTTTTTTATTAGTACAAGGTTTTTTTTACTGATGAATCAGTAAATTTTATAATCAAAATCAATTTTTTCAATTCGAAATTTTTAATTAATCAGTAAAAACTTTTTCTACTAATGAATCAGTAAATTTTATAATAAAAATTAATTTTGTCAATTAGAAAATTTTAATTAATTAGTAGTATTTACTAATTAATTAAAATAATTAAAATAATAAATTAAAACTAATGAATCAGTCAATTTTGTTATAATAATATCAGTGAATATAAATTTTATCAGTAAAAAATTTACTTATTTATCAGTAGAAAACTTTTATTCTTGATAAATCAGTTAATTTTGTCATGAATGTCAATATTATTAGTCAAAAATTAGTAATTTATTAGTAAAATTTTTTTTTACTGATTAATCTGTAAATTTTATAATCAATATCATTTGTGTCTGCTATAAAAATTACTGATAAATTAGTAAAAATTTTATTTACTCATAAATCAGTGAATTATATCAGTTAAAAATTACTGATTTTTTAGAACGAATTTTTTGCTAATAATAAATCAGTAAATTTTATCGTCAAAATTAATTTTTGTCTGTAAAAATTCGCACTATTTATTAGTAAAGAATTGTTACTGATGAATGATAATTTATGTTAATTAGAAATATTACTGATTTATGATATATCATAGATTAAATTGTATTTTTAATTTTTTAATTAAAAACTTTTTTAAAAAAAATATTTAAAAATTATTTAAAAAAATTATTAAAAAAAATGTTTAAAAAAATAAAGAAAAATAAAAAAAATAATTATATAAATGATTGCAAATGATTGTAAATGAATTAAATGTGTTTTGTAAATTAAATTAAATGAATCGTTTATGCGTTAGGATAATATTTTTTTATTAGAAAGAAAATTAATACAAAAATATGATTTTTCGTATACAACTAAATTAAAAATAAACATCGTGTTCGTGAAGACAATAAAAAAAAATTAGAAAACAGATTTCACTAGCACTTTATAATAAATCTAACAATTAATTAAGGGTAGGTCACACCGAAAATAATTTCATGGTAATTTTTTTTTTAAATTCAATAGCAGAAAATAAAATTGGTAAATTAATATTTTCACTTCTTTTGAATTCTTTTTTCTTTAAAATTGGTAAATAAAAATCTTCACTTCTTTTGTATTTTTTTTTCTTTAAAATTGGTAAATTAATATTTTCACTTCTTTTAAATCCTTTTTTCTTTAAAATTGATATTTTCTCTAAATTAGTTATTTTGAATTCATTTTTCTCTAAAATTGGTATTTTCTCTAAATTGGTAAATTTAGAAAAAAATCCATGAATTAATTATGTAGAAAATATATTTTTGAATTCACTCAAAATTTCCGAATGAAAAATTTGAATTTCACTATTTCAAAAGCATTTTTCTTCAAAAAAATTGTTTTCAGCCAAAAAAAAAATGCTAAAAACTACTAATGTTATTCAATTTTTCTATTTGAAAATTTATTTCTTCATTTTTCTAACGAACTACAGTTTATAAATTTTAAAAATATCGGTGTACCCTCCCCTTGTAAAAATGAAAAAAAAAATTATACACAAAAATTCCATAACATTCGTGCGAAAATAAATAAATAAATAAACAGCGATTGTAAAGACTAAAAAAAAAAAAATTCAGATTGTAAAATCTAAAAATATTCTTCAATTATTGTGAAACGAATTTTAACTCAACACAAGGAGTCTTCACATTATTTCCAAGCACATTATGTTGCGACAAATAATTTTTATTTTTTATAGTTGGAGAAAATTTAAAATCTAAATTATTAAATTAATTTAAAAACTAAATTATTAAATTAATTTAAAAAGTAAATTATTAAATTAATTTAAAAACTAAATTATTAAATTGATTTAATAACTAAATTATTACAAATGTTCTTTTTGCAAATTTTAAAGTCGATTAAAAAATAAATTTGCATGAATAAAATATAAATGTCGAATGTCCTAATAATAAATTCTAAATTGTCGCTTTAATTTAGAAAATCATGTCTTCTTGCTATCTTCCGTTTCCTTTAGTTCCTTTAGTTTTTTATTGGCGGCAATGATATCCTTTTTTTCTATCCTAATCACGCATTTATGCATCTTAACTAAAGAGACAAGTAGTGCCTTCTGCTTAGCTACAAAGAAAAAGAAGAAAATTAGTATTTGAAAATAGAAATAATATTTATTTTGTATTATTATTAGTATTTTTACCATTTTATGTTAATTAGTTTTTAATAATATTTTTAATAGTAAAAATATTTGTAATAGTAAAAATATTTTTAATTGTAAAAATATTTTTAATTGTAAAAATATTTGTAATAGTGAAAATATTTTTAATTGTAAAAATATTTGTAATAGTAAAATAATATTTTTAATTGTAAAAATATTTGTAATAGTAAAACTATTTTTAATAGTAAAAATATTTTTTTGGCAGTAAAAATACTAGTTTTGATAGTAAAAATACTATTTTTTGATATAAAAAGTACACATACCAGTTTTTCCCCACATTTCAGAAGACGGACGATCACAAAAAAAAATCATGCTGTTAATTTTTTTTCTTGATACAATCACAATAATTCAAAACACAGAAAAAAAGGAAGAAAGAACACAATTTTTTTTTTTTGAGTGAATTTATTTATTCAAATTTATTTGTTTAGAAGAACAAATTATTTTCACACAATTCTTAAACACTATAACTATTTTTGACGCTATTCGTAGAAAGGTAGCAAAAGAAGCAAAGAATTTAAAAATTTAAGGTTATGTTTTTTGTTATTTTTACCCTAATTAGGATAAAGTTAAAAGTTTCGTTTTCATTGTACGAAACTAAAATGAGTATTTATTAATTATTTACGATTTAATAAAGACTTAGACATAAGTGATTTTTTATTAAAACTTAATTCTCTTCGTGAATTTTCATTCCGAAAATAACAAACATAACCTCAAATTTTTGCACCTTTCTTCGAAGCGAGTCTCATACGCATAATGTTACAGGTTTGCGAATTTTTATTTTCCTCACACGAAATATAATTATAAATGACGCTAAAAGCAGTCTAAAAATCGTCTAGAATAAAAACTTCCTGCTTAGGATGATGTTTTCGAATATGCGAATAGACGAGACACGTTGAAATTCCACGATGATCGCAATAGGGACACTTAAAACTTGGCATTGCTGCGCAAACATTTTGAATGTGTTGCTGTAGCATTTCCTGTTGAGGAAAACATTGGCCACACTTTGAGCAAAGGTGCACTTTTTTGATGAATTTTCTTAATATTGTTCTGCCGGGTGGTTGTCGTTGATAATTATCTGAAACAGAAAAATTTATTTCAAATATTAGTTTAATTGTCGAAATCAGTTTTCAAAAACCTTTAAATCATTTTCAAAACCTTCAAATAATTTTTAAAACTTTCAAATAATTTAAAAAAAAATTTTCAATTTACAATTATTAAATTTCAATTTAAAGACAAATCATTACTTTTTCAGATACACAATTCATTCTCACTTCTTTATTACACAAACGACAGAAATACTCGAGATTAATGAAAAAAAATTTTAATTTAAAAATTAAAAAAAAATAAATATAAGACAGCGAGGAAAATAATTGATATTTATTGAGTGGTTTAATTTTTATTTGAAAGAAATTACAGATTATGTATAAAGTTAATTATTTAATTCTTAGAAATAATTGTTTCTAAACCGATTTTTTTTAATATAAAAAAAATATTACTTTTACTATTTACAAAGTAAAACCTCAGCTTTCGTAATAAAGGAAATTTTTTGCAAGAGGAAGTAAATTTTACTCAAAACTAGTAAAATTTACTCCAAGAAAAAATTAGTAAAATTAAAAATAAATTCTGAGTTGTCTTGAATTTCTGCATATTTTTTTATCAGCTTTTTTCGTAGTAAAGAAAATTTTATGCAAGCCGAAGTCAATTTTACTAATTTTTACTACAAAAATAGTAAAATTTACTCCAAGAAAAAATTAGTAAAATAACAATTAAAATCTCAGCTGTCTGGAATTTTCACTCATTTTAATCAACTGTTTTGGTAAAAAACGAAATTTTATTCTTTCCAAAGTAAATTTTACTAAAAAATAGTAAAATTTACTCCAAGAAAAAATTAGTAAAATAACAATTAAAATCTCAGCTGTCTGGAATTTTCACTCATTTTAATCAACTGTTTTGGTAAAAAACGAAATTTTATTCTTTCCAAAGTAAATTTTACTAAAAAATAGTAAAATTTACTCCAAGAAAAAATTAAAATGTCAGCTGTCAGAAGTTTCTGCTTATTTAAGCAGCTTTTTTGGTAGTAAAGAAAATTTTATGCAAGTCGAAGTAAATTTTACTGATTTTTACTAAAAAAAAAATAGGAAAATAGTGAATTTTACTAATTTTTACTAAAAAAAAAATAGGAAAATAGTGTTTTTCACTAATTTTTACTAAAAAATAGTGAATTTTACTATTTTTTACTAAAAAAAATTGTAACATTTACTCCAAGAAAAAAATGAGTAAAATAAAATTTAAATATCAATTATCTGGAATTTTTACTTCTGATTGATTAAAATCAACTGTTTTCGCAAGAAAGGAAATTTTATTCTGTCCAAAGTAAATTTCACTAATTTTTACTAAAAACAGTAAAATTTACAGCAAAACAAAAAATAAGGAATATAAAAATTAAAATCTCAGCTGTCTAGAATTTGGGAGTATTTGAAACAGGAAAATTTCTAAAAAAGGAAATTTTATTCTTTCTCAAGTTTAATTTTACTAATCTTTACTAAAATTAGTAAAATTCATTCGGGAAAAAATTAGCAAAATAAAAATTTAAATCTTAGCTGTCTGAAATTTATATTTTTTTATTCAACTTTACTATTTTTGTAATAAAGAAAATTTTATTTAGTCGGAAGTAAATTTTACTGATTTTTACTATAAAAACGGTAAAATTCACTCCAGAAAAAATTTGTAAAACAAACATTAAAATTTCAGCTGTCTACATATTTTAGAGATTTTAATCAACTATTACTATTTTCATAGTTAAGAAAATTAAATTTTGTGTGAAGTAAATTTTATTAAATTTTGCTAAAAATAGTAAAATTTACTTTGGAAAAAAATTGGTAAAATAAAAACTAAAATCTCAATGGAATTTTTGCGTATTTCAATCAGTTCATTTCGAAGTAAAAAAATTTACTCTATCTGAAGTAATTTTTACTATTCTTTACTAAAAAACTAGTAACATTTACTCTAGAAATATTCTGTACGAAGTAAATTTTACTAATTTTTGCTAAAAAATAGTAAAAATTACTCCCGGAAAAAATTAGTAAAAGAGCAATTAAAATTAGTAAAAATTGACACAATAATTATAGACAGCTCAGGTTCTACTTTTAAAGAACACTAAAAAAATTATTTGATTCAAATAATACTAATTAGTTGACTATTGTCAATTAAATATTTACTTGAATCAAATAATTTTTTTCGAACAAATAAATTGTACTTAAACAAATAAATTGTACTTAAACAAATAAATTGCATTTAAACAAATAAATTGTTTCTTAATCAATAATTTCAGTATTTGAGGCAAATACTATTTAATTAACTCAAATAAAAATAATAAGCTTCAAGTAAATATCTATTTGATAATTAGTTAATGAATTAGTTAATTATAATCATTAAACTTATAACTTTTTTTTATAAAAACTAGGTTTTCTTTTGAACTTCTCCTTCAATATTATAGAAAATTAGAAATATTTACGAGATCTATAAATTTATATCATATTTGGAAACATTGGTGCGGCACTGTAGTCAATGTAGCAAACGACCTCGTCAGGATGTCGTCCTCGAATGTGACGGTAAACGTGATCCTTGCGTTTGTTTCGAAAAGAACAATGAGGACAGCCGAATTTTAATTCAGAAATGTGATGATTTCTGTTTCTTCTCTTTGGTTGTGGTTCAATATTTGGATAATAATTCGCTGGCGTATAGAAATCTGCGAACAAAAATTACTTCATTTTAATTAAATTATAATAATTTAGAAAATAAGGGAAAAACGATACATTGTATTAAATCAACTCTCTTAATAATTAATTAATTAATAATTAAAAATCAATCAGTTTAATAATTGATTAATCAATCAAAATGATTCCATAAATTGATTCAAACAATCAAAATAATTTCACAAATTGATTCAATCAATCAAAATGATTCAATCAATTAATTTAATCAATCAAAATGATTCAATCAATTAATTTCTTCAGTCAAAATGATTTAATCAATTGATTTTAATTTTCTCAATCAAAATGATCCAATCAATTAATTTAATCAATCAAAATGATTCAATCAATTTAAAAATTCTACGAACATACGATTTTAATATTGTAAAGCACACAATGCACAAATTAAAATTGTTATTTTTATTAATATTAATAACAATTTAGTAATATTCACAAATTTTGAAAATAAGTCGAAAAATGTCTCATTTTTTGAAAAATAGTCGGAAAAAATCGAAAAAGTCATAATATCCAAGACCTGTAATAATAATAACAAAAAAATTATAGTAATAAAAATAAATAATAATGATAATAATAACAATAAAAATAATTAATAAGAATTGAAAATAACTTAAAACTATATGAAAAAATGGGGACTAAATTTTCTGGGGCTTGAATATAAAATATTTATTTATTTAACAAATTCTAACTAAATAATTTTTATTAATAATAATTATTAATTATTAATAATTAATATTCAATAAAAATAATAGTAATAGTAATAAAATATAAAGAAAAGATGTTTATATAATTATTTATATAAATCAATAATTCAATAATTTTTTATTCACATAATTCAATAATTTTTTATCACAATTTCATTGTGTTGTTACTAAAAACGTTTCCTTTTGAAATTTCGTCCACAAACAAATTGTTTATGTAGCTTTAAATATTGATTAGAACGGTATTCTTTACCACAGTTGTCACAAAAATAACATTTTCGACTGCGTACTGACTTGAGACCTGTAACTAAAAACAAAAAAATTTATTAGTAAAAGACCAATAAAAAATTATTCTTCATACGAAAATTATTATCTAAAATGCACATAAAATGTACAACGAGAAATCTCCAAGGAAAAATTAATATTTAATTCACATTGATGATGAGAGAAATGAAAAGATTAATAAGAAAGAAATAAAAAATAGAAAAATAGAAATTTAAACAGAAATCATACAACAATAAAAATAAATTAAATAAAATCTAAAAAAAAAATCAGTATAATTTGAATTTTTCTAGTTTGGTATAATTTAAAGAAATATTTTCCATTTTTTGTTTTTGTTTTTTTTTTTGTTGAAATTTTTGTTTAATTGCTATAGAAAAATTTAAAACATTTTCTTAATGACAAGGGGCAATTCAGAATGCCATCGTCGTACATGTCTGTAAACGTTACTACTCGATTTATCTTTTTTATGACAATAGGGACACGCAAAACGCAGTGCCTGACCGCATTTATGTCTCAACAAATCGAACATTCGTCGGAAACCTGCATTGCACTGTGGACAAAGGTAGCTGTCTAAAGGCGGTCGATTAACCCATTCTTGTGCTTTCGTTTCTGAAACAAAAAAAGGAAATTAATGAATGCAATTTCATTATTCATTCAATTTTTATTTTTATTTATTTTTTTTTTATTTTGTTTTTTTTTACCTGTGAAAAAGAAAATATAAAAATATTCAAAGCCGTGCAAAAAATATGTATATAATATTATAAATCTAATGAAATGTCATGCAAAAAATGTTTTATGAAAATGTTTATTTTATGCAATTTCACAATTTTTTGAAATCAGAAAATATGAATAAAAAAATAAATAAATATAAATAAAAAAATAAATAAATATAAATAAAATAAAAATAAAAGTAAAAAAATAGGAATAAATATAAACAAATATAAATAAATATGAATAGATATAAAAAAAGTGTAAATAAATATATAAAATAAAAAAGTATAAACAAAAAAATAAGTAATCCTTAGAATAGAAATTATAATAAAGGCTCTAAACTTGCCTGTATTGTCTGTCTTATTAGCGTCAATAAAGCAAACAACCTTTGATTAAAATATATTTAATGTATGTATTTTAGCCACTTTTTTTCTTCTAAAGTGTGTTGTTTATGCTGCACAATAAACATAAATTTACAAACTAATGCTTTTGAAGAAATGACCTTAATAGTTAATCTTATTTTACATTATATGTTCCTTTTTACAATTTACTAAACAATTTGGTTCATTCTCTCATTGATATGTACAAAAATTAGTTTTTCTCTTTTATACTGTGAACAAAAATTTTCTGTCCATTTACAGTTTTGTTATGGAATTTTGTAGAAACTTGTAAAATTACGTTTTTCAGTCAGCAAATTTAAATTTAAAAATTAAATTAATTAAATTAATTAAATTAATTATTTAAAATTAAATTAATTCAATTCCAATTCTCGAAAAATTAATAGAAAACACCGATTTTTTAACTGTAACAAGAAAATATTTTAAATATTCCAGAAAATATTTTTTTTATTTTAATATTTTCCTTAATATTTTCATGGTAATTTTTGGTGAAGAATTCAATATTCATAAAATAAAATGTGACAGAAAATATTTAGACACCTTTTGAATTTTTATTTTCAATCCATTCGTAATTTTGTAGAAAATATTTTTGTATCCATCAAAAATTTGATTTTTACTATTTTTGAAACATTTTTTGAAATTATTTTTACCTAGACTAAAAATGCAGAAGAATAATTATTTTTTATTTGAAAATTCATTTATGTTTCTAACTAATTGCAGATATTGTTGAATATTGTTTTTTTCGTATAAAAAAAAATATTATTTGAAATTAGTTAGAAAAATAAAAAATGAATTTTCAAACTTCTTAAAAAAATGGTAAAAATAAAAATTTTTCACTCGTCAATTTTTTTGTGGACACAAAATAATATTTTGTAGAAAATTACACATGGATTTCAAAATCTACTAATTTTTAGAAATAATAAAAATTCAAAAGGAGTGAAAATATTTTCTGATCATTGAATTCCTCATAAAAAAATACTTGAAAAATTTTCATCTTTTTTGAATTTCTAAATTTCCTATAAATCTTGTAGACTTTGAAATCTATTCGTAATTTTGTAGAAAATGTTTTTGTATCTACAAAAATATTGTCGAAGGAGAAAATTGATTTTTACTATTTTTGAAGCACTTTTTTAGAGAAAAAAATTTTTTTTTTCTATTATAAAAAATATTTAATATTTTTTATTTTCTATATTAAGAAATATTTAATATTTTCTATTTTTTATATCAAGAAATATTTAATATTTCTTTATTTTTTATATAAAAAAATTTCGATTCGAAATCAGTTAGAAAAATAAACAAATGAGTTTTAGAACAAAAATTAAATAACAATAGTTTTTTTAGCATTATTAGTCTAAAAACAGTTTAGAACAAAAAAATTCTTCAAAAATAGTAAAAAATCAAATTTCTCACTCTGCAATTCTTTTCTGGAGACAAAACAATATTTTCAACAAAATTATTAATGGTTTTCAAAGTCTATAAATTTTTAGCGAAACATCCAATTTTTAAAGGAGTCAAAATATTCCCGACCCATTTTATTTTATTTCTATTGAATTTCTCACAAAAAAATTTTCAAATAAACATAATTTTAAATTTTCCAGAAAATTATTTTTATGATAATTTTGCAAAAAGAAAAATTAAAATAAAAATAATTTTAAATATTCTAGAAAATCATTTTTCTGGAAATTTTTTTTTGTAGAATTCAATGAACATAGAATAAAATGGGTTAGATCATATTTTGATAGCTGTTGAATTTTTATTTTTTCCAAAAAGTTTCATATTTTGAAATCTGTGCATAATTTTGCAGAAAATGTTTTTGTATCAAAAAAATTCGACAAATTTTTACTATTTTTAAAGAAATTTAGAAAAAAATTATTTTTAGACTAAAAATGATAAAAAATACAACTTTTTGAATTTGTATTTGTCTAACTAATTTCAAATCACAATTTTTTAATAATTTTTATTTTCTATATTAAAAAATATTTAATATTTTTTATTTTTTACATGAAATGATGATATGAAATTAATAAGAGAAACAAGTGGACTTTAAATTCAAAAATTAAATAAAAATACTATTTTTTTAGCAATTTTAGTCTAAAAATAATTTAAAACAAAAAAATGCTTTCAAAAATAGTAAAAATCAATTTTTTCATTTTGAAATTTTTAAAAAACAAAAAAAATTTTCTACAATGTTACCCATGGATTTCAAAATCTATTTTTGAAAAAAAAATAAATTTACAAAAAAAAGTTGTGAAACTCTTACATTAAAATTACCAACAGTAAAAGAAAATCTCACCAAAAGAATTAATTTTACAAGAAGGAATTAAAATTCGCCGATTTTAAGGACATAATTTTACAAATTACAATTTTGTGTAAAATCCAGAGAAAATTTTTTTTTTACTATAAAGACAATTTTTTTTTCATTATGAAGATAATTTTTTTTTTTTCATTATGAAGATATAAAAATCGAATGTGTCTTCAACATTAAATTCTTTGATGTTCTAGCCTTCATAATTAAATTAATTACATTTTCAATGTTCAATCATTTATAATTCTATTAAAACTAATTTTCTTGAACTAAAAAAAAAGAAAAGTCAATGACTTCTCAATAATAAATCTTTCTTCACGGAAGCAAAAAAAAAAAAAAGGAAATTTTTTTTCTTTCAGTAGAGTTTTACCAGTGTTACAGTTTCACTGGGATGAACTGCTCTCACATGCTGATAAACATTAGAAGTCTTTTTACTGAGCAATTGACAATAGGGACACTTGTATCTCGGCGGTTGATTACACTCGTAGCGATAGTGTCCCAACATTGTGTCTCTCCTTCCATAGCCACTATTGCATTTGGGACAATGAAATTTTCCCGTGTACGAGTTGAAATGACTGTCGTCTAGTTTCGCTTTTCCAAATTTCGCAAAATGCCTCTGATGCGATCCACTGCGTTTTTTACCTGAAAAAAATTTATAAAACGTTAGTTAAAATTCAATTTCATTTTTCGAAATGTCATTCAAAGCTGTTTTAGAATTTTTTTTTTGTTTTTTTATTACCGCAATAATACTATTTGTTTCATGCAACGAAAAAAAATAAAAGAAAAGAAAAGAATTCTTTCACAAATTTTGGAAGTTGGAAGATGCGATATTTTTATTGTAAATGTTTTTTTAATCGAAATTCGTAAAAATGATTATTGTTTAATTAGAGAAGCTCTTTTTCATGATTTTCTTTTTAGAAATGAAAAATTGTTGACGAAGCAAATCGGGATAGTCGGGGTGATTGCTAATTGTATGAATTTTATTTAGAAACAAATGTATATTTAATTATTTATACAATTCGGTTTTTTATAAATTTCTTTTTCTTATGTTAATATTAATCAATTTTGTACTTTCGTAGAAAATTCCAAAATTTAAATTGTATAATTACGTTTTAATTCTAATCTGGATTAAATTAAATCGTAAATTACAATTTGGATTAAATTAAATCGTAAATTACAATTTAGATTAAAATTAACTCGTAAATTACAATTTAAATTACAATTTGGATTGAATTAAATTGTAAATTACAATTTAGATTAAAATTAACTTGTAAATTACAATTTCGAATTTAAATAGTAAATTACAATTTAAATTTTGGAAAATTGGGCGGAAATGAAAAATTTTACGGCACATGAAGTAAAGTGCCTCCGTCAGTATCGCCATAAATATCAATGGCATAAACCTTCATATCAACATGTCGTCTGCGAACATGTCCATAAATACTATAAGCCTTTTTACTCCGATGATTGCAGTAAGGACAGGCGAATCTCGGCTCTTGAAGACATTCGTATTTCAAATGTCGCGTTAAACTTTGTTTTTGACCAAAACTAGTTGTACATTGCGGACAGGGAAATAATTTCTTCACTCCTGACATCTGGCCTCTATCTGAAAAAATAAAAAATAATTATTTACTAAGCAATCACATTATTAAAAAAAGACTCTCAGTGAAATTTCATTTTTCCAAAGAGCCAGTGAAATAAAAAATAAAATTTATTTCTTCTTCTTAAAATAAATAAATTCTTCCTTCAATTAACAATAAAAATCGTTAATCGAAAATAAAAAAAATAGATAAAAATAATTTTATTAATTTTCTCATTTTCGTATATTGTGCATATATTTAAAATTTAAATTAATTAATCCTTACAAAAACAATTCCCTATAAAACTTATTGTAATTATACAAATACGAGAATAATTTCTACTTTATGTTTAGAAAAACAATTTCTACACTTTTTTCGAGAATAATTTCTAATTAAGGTAAAAATTATTCTCGAAAATAATTTCTATATATTAGAAATTATTTATTTAGTAATTATTTAATTATATAGAAATTATTCTCGAAAAAAGTGTAGAAATAATTTATACGTATATTGTGAATATATTTAAAATTTAAATTAATTAATCTTTACAAAAACAATTTCCTATAAAACTTATCTTCATAATTATACAAATACGAGAATAATTTCTACTTCATATTTAGAAAACCGATTTCTACACTCTTTTTGAGAATAATTTCCAATTATGTAGAAATTATTCTCGAAAATAATTACTACATATTAGAAATTATATATTTAATTATTATTTAATTATATAGAAATTATTCTCGAAAAGAGTGTAGAAATAATTTCTACGTATGTTTAGAAAAATTTCCAATTACAAATTTTTCTTTACAAAATTGTCGAAAATATTTTCTAACATTTCACATATTTTCAAAGAGATCAACTACAAAAACTTGATTGTCCTTGTGAAGTCGAATAATATGCTTGCGAACATCGGCTTTAACTTTGCATATATAATCGCAATATGGACATTTATATCTGGGCACTACACCACAAGAAGTTCTCAGATGCCAGGTCAAATTATTTCTCCTTGTAAAAGTACTATTGCATCCTTCGTTTGGACAGATGAAAAGAATTTTCTTCTGATCTTCATTTGGATCGAATCCAGGTTGATATTTTGTATCTTCATCGTCTGAATAAAATTGGCTCTGACTTTCTTGCTTCACCCATATTTGTTGATGATAAACTGCTGTAAAAACAAGATTTTTTTGTATTAGAGAAAAGAAATAAAATTTTTAAGCTTGTGAGGATGATTAAAAATATCTTAATAAGGATAATGAACACACAGACATGTAAAATAGGAGTTTATGAAATTTAGAGTTGGACACAATTTTATTGTTTTGGGAAAATTTGCGGACAATAAAGTTAAAGAGCTGACAATAAAAATACTGGTTAGGATAAGAAATTAAAAATTTTTTTAATTGGAATTTTTTATTTTAAATTTCGTAGAGTTAATGAAGAATGATAAATTAATGCAGAATATAAAAAATGTAGAATAAAAAAAATACAGCTGCAAAAAGTGCAGTATAAAAAAAATACAGAATGTACAGAATAAAAAAAATACATTTACAAAAAATACGAAATAAAAAAAATTCATTTACAAAAAAAAAGAATAAAAAAATACAGTTAGAAAATATAGAAAATAAAAAAAATTCAGTTGCAAAAAATACAGTAGAACAAAAATAAAGAATACAAAAAATTAACAAAAGCAAAAAAAAAATTAAATAAAAAAATACGTTTAAAAAAATACAGTTAGAAAATATACAGAATAAAAAAAATTCAGTTACAAAAAATACAGTACAAAAAAAAATACAGAATACAAAAAATTAACAAAAGCAAAAAAAAATTAAATAAAAAAAATATAGAATAAAAAAATACAGTTAAAAAATATACGGAATAAAAAAAATACAGAATACAAAAAATAAACAAAGATTAAAAAAAATTAAAAACAAAATTAGGGCCGGCCCGAAATGAGTCTTAAACATAATTTTTAAATTTACTTTTGAAAAATTCCTGTTTCGAAAATAAAAATAAAAAATAACTTAAAAAAACAACAGAACTAAGTAAATAAGGAAAAAAAGAAAATGATCTGGAATACGAGGAAAATATATAAATTAAAGTTTGTAAACAATTTTATCAAATACTTCTTCAGTTAGTTATAAAAATTGAATGCTAAATAATTTCTAATTAACTTTGACTTTATTAAAAGTTATCGAACTTTTCGAAAAAATTCTCGTACTTTTTATAGAAAAATTCTCGTTTCCAAGTTATTTAATTTTTTTCCTGCACTTTTGTTTTAATGGAGAAAATAATTTTATTATTATCAATTTAATTCATATTTAGTAGTACAACATGTGAATAATTATTATATAACAGTAGATGCAGACTACTTTAACATTTTTGTAATTTGAATATTTTAGAATATTAGCTTTGCTTTTAAAAAAACAGTTTAAATAACACAAATAAAAGTTGCAATATATAATTTAAATTTCGTACAACTATTCTTTGGAATCAAAGATAACGAAGATATTTATAAATATACCACTGACTTGGAATGAATACTTCAAATGTGCAATGAGAAACAACCTGAAATAGAAAATAATAAGTTTTATTAATGAAATTCTGATAATGATTTTGTTTAACAAACAAATTTGAAAAATTTTATTTTGAATTTTGATTAAAATTTTTTTTAAAGTATTTTTAATAATAAAATTCTTCGAAAGAATTCAATTGTTTTCAATAATTTTTTTTATAAAATTCTTCTCAAAAATTCAACTATTTTCAAAAATTTAAATAAAATTTTTCGAAATAATTCCATTGGTTTTAACGAAAGATTTTATAACAATTTTGTAGCAAAATTTTTCGTTAAAATTAAGTTATTTTCAAAATTAATAAAAATTAAAATCTTTAGAAAGAATTAAATTATTTCCAAAAATTCTTTTAAAAAATTCAATTATTTTAAAATATTCTAATAAAATTCTTCGTAAAAATTCAATTATTTTTAAAAATTCTCTGAAACAATTTAATTAATTTAAAAAATTCAATTAATTTCAAAAATTTGTAATACAATTTTTTGTTACAAGTAATTTATTTTCCTAAATAATAAAATTTATCTAAAGAATTAAATTATTCTCAAATATTTTTTAAGAAAATTTAATTACTTTCATAAATAACGAAATTCTACAAAAAAATTGAATTATTTGCATAAAGAACAAAATTATTCGAAAATCAATTAATTTTAAAAATTGTAATAAAATTTTCCGTTGAAATTAAGTTTTTTTCATAAATAATAAAATTTTCAGAAGGAATTTCCATTTTATAAATAATAAAATACAGTCAAACCTGGACAAGTGAGAATTAAAGGGTCCAAGAATTTTATCTCACTTACAGAATTGTCACTTAACGAAAATGTTTTAATTTTTCGCGATTTCGATTTTTCAATGAAATTAAAACAACTTTCGAAATTAAATTTGAAAAAGCAAACGCTTCTTGTTAAATTTGAATTGAAACTAAATTTTTCTGTGTATAATAAGTGGAATAATTAGAGTTTAAATAAAGGGCCTTTGTCCCTAGACATCTATTGTAAATTTAAGTACTGTTTATTGATAACTGTAGACTTTTAGAAAATTTCACGAAAGAATTCAATTTTTGTCTTAATTCGTTATAAAATTTTTCGAAAGAATTCAATTATTTTCTAAAATTTTAATAAATCCTTTGAAATAATTCAATTATTTTTATGAATAGTAAAACTCTTTGCAGGAATTCAATTATTTTCAAAAAAATTTTAATTCAATTCTTCGGCAGAATTAAAATATTTTTAAATATTTCCAAAAAATTCAATTATTATTTCCTAAAATTTTAATAAATTCTTCGGAAAAATTTAACTATTTTTATAAATACTACTTAAAATTCTTTGCAGGAATTAAATTATTTTTAATCCAATTTAAATTAAATTACACGAAAGAATTTAATTATTTTAAAAAATTTCCATAAAATTCAATTTCAACAAAAATTTTAAATTCTCTAAAAATCATTCAATTATTCTCAAAATATTTTTAAAAATTCTATATGAAAATTAAATTACTTTCAATGCAATTTCGAAATATATTCGTCAAAAAATTGAAAGATTTCAATTAATTTTAAAAAATAATAAAATTCTTCTGATAAATACAATTATTTTGAGTATGCTTAATTTTAATAAAATTCTTTACAGAAATTCAATTATTTTCGAAACAACTTTAATTAAATTTCTCGAAAGAATTTGCTTATTTTCAAATAATTCTTAAAAAAAATTTTTCAACACAATTCAATTTTTTCTAAAATTTTAATAAATTCTTCGATCATTTCAATTATTTTTATAAATAGTAAACTTCTTTGTAGAAATTCAATTTTTTTCAAAAAAATTTTAATAGAATTCCTGAAAAGAATTTAATTATTTTCAAATATTTACATAAAATTAATTTATTTCCTAAAATTTTAATAAATTCTTAGGAACAATTCAATTATTTTTATAAATTTTACAATTCTTCGCAAGATTTAATTTATTCTTATAAATATGTAATACAATTCTTCTCAGGAATTCAATTATTTTCAATATAATTTTAATAAAATTCTTCTTCATAAAATTCAATTGCTTTCAAAATTTTCAATTAAAATTATTAAAGAAATTTCATTATTTTAAAAACATTTAAAGAAATTTTTAAAAAGAATTTAATTAGGATTTTTTCAAATTTTAATAAAATTCATTAGCCAGAATTCAATTATTTTCAAATATTTATATAAAATTTTTCGTAATAATTCAATTATTTTCAAATATTTTAATATAATTCTTCTCAAGAATTCAATTTTTTCATAAATAACAAAATCTTTCGAAATAATTCAATTATTTTCATAAATTATAAAATTCTTCATAACAATTTAATTATTTTCAAAAATTTATTTAAAATTTCGAAAAATAATTGAATTTTTAAAAAGAATGGAAAATTTTTTATTAAAATCCTAAATATTGAAAATAATTGAATTTCAAAATTTTTCGTAATAATTCAATTATTTTTTAACATTTGAATATAATTCTTTCAAGAATTAAATTTTTTTCATAAATAACAAAATCCTTCAAAAGAATTCGAAGGAATTCAATTATTATCTTCAAATTTTTTGATAAAAAAAGAAAATTCTTTTCAAGAATTCAATGATTTTAAAAATTTTAAATATTTAAAAAGAAATTTTTTTAAAAAAGTTAGCAAACAAAAAATATAGATTATTATTATCAAAATTTTATTTGATGAAGAAATAATATAAGTTTTCATTTATTTGAACGTTCAGAATTTAAGAAGCATTGTTTGAACACTCTAAATCTGAATCTGTGAAAATTTCACTGATTTTAATTCAGTGGACGAGGTTTCTTTGATGAATGAGTGAAATTAAAGAAAACTAGTCCACTGAATTTTCACTGATTCAGATTTAGAGTGAAGGCAAAAAAAGGAAATTAATTTCATTTACCTGAGAATGTTGAAATTTAATGAAAGTTCCTAATCGATTATCTGTATTTCATCATCAATTGGAGGTTTGGCACAAATTAACGCATTGCTTTCGTTGACATGCCTCATCTTCATGTGCATATATCCTTCTTCGGGTTTTTTCGTCGAATAACTACAATAACGACATTGGAATAAAATTGTCGTACTCTCGTTCATAGCATTCAGTTCATTAATTTCATTAATTTCATTGTCTTCACTCATTTCATTTCCTTCACTCGTCTCCATAGTTTGTTCACTTTCATCGATTTCACTGCTCAGATCCACACACTCAATGTCATTCTCATCAATGGTTATTACTTTCTTCCCTGGATAAACTTCCCTCCTCGTAATCAGATCAATAAGCGAAATTTCCTCACTCGAATGGTATTTTTCAACGTGGCAAAAACCATTCGACTCGCCATGAGTGAAGAATTCACAATAAGGACACTTGAATCGTATCGGTTTTTGGCAACACAAACTCAAATGAATTTTCAACGTCGTCTGTTTGGTGAATTTACAACCACACTTATTGGGACACACAAATTGATTCACTGTTTTCTCCCCCTGATTTGCTTGATTTTCCGCCTCCATTCGAACAAATTTCGAAACCTCTTCGTTCAGTGCCTCTTCTGACAGTTCCTTTGGGCATGAGTCTTCGTCTGAATCACTGTCCTTCGCGATGTCGATTAAAGTCTCGTCCATTTCCTCCGGACCTTCGAGAATATCCAAATAGCTGAGATCATTGGATTCGCCGACAAATTCGGCAGTTTGGGAAAGGATTTCCGGTTCGGAAATGTTGACGAACTCGATGTCATTGAGTGGTTTTTGGGGACTTTTAATTACTTGGTTCTGTACCTGCTTTTTTGGACATTTTTGGAAATGCTCCCATAAATCGTCTGGGTGTTCGTAAATAGTGTCGCATTTGGGGCACTTTAAGTGGAGTTTTCTTTTCTCGTAACGCTCGACTGGGATTTCTTTTTGCTTTTCATTTTCTGTTTTTCGATTTCCGTCTATTGCACTTAAAGTAGAATTCGAGTTTGGATCGTCACCCAGAGTGTCGATGGAATAAATTTCCATTCCCGGATGATGGCGAGCGATGTGTGACGTAACATCCGAGTTCATTTTGTAAATAACCGGACAGTAGGGACATTGATAACGCTTTGGAAGCGTACAGTATTTGAAGTGAATTTTCTCATAACGCGGTAGAGTAAAAAATCTATCGCATCCATTCGAACAGGGAATTGTTTTACTGCCTATTTCCATTTCCTTTTCTTTCGGTTTTTTCTCCAAATTCTCCTTTTCTTTCGGTTTTCTCTCCAGATTCTCCTTTTCTTTCGGTTTTCTCTCCAAATTCTCCTTTTCTTTCGGTTTTCTCTCCAAATTTTCTTTTTCCTTAGGGTTCTCCTCGATTTTCTGTCGTTTGGATAGATTTTCAGACGATGTGGAGGATCTTCTTCGTTTACGTTGTTGCTTCATTACCGAACCTTCCAATTTTCTCTCGCTGAGGGAATTTTTGTAAATTTTTTGTTTCGTGTGTAAACTAATGGCACAAACTTGTTCGTTTGAATGTTCTTCTTCGGTGTGTGAAATGGTTAGTTTGAATGAGGCGAACTTTCGGCTACAATATGCACAACGATAGCGATTTACTTCGGGACAAAATCTTTTTAAATGATGATCAATACTGTCGGATTTGGAGAATATTTTACCGCAATTTTTCGGACAGGTGATATCTGTTGAATACTGTTCTTCATTTTCGGAAATGTTTGGCGAATTTTTTTGTTGATCTGTTGTCGTTTCGCAATTGTTTGGGGGTTTTTTCGAAGCGTCGGTGTGATTTTGTGCTGAGGGACGTCGAAAAACGGGAACGGAGCGTAAATATGTTTCCATTTTTCGACTAAGAGTTTTCTCCTTGCCTCGGAATTTGTTGATTAAATAAACTTTTAATTCTGGATGTTTTTTGATGACGTGAAAGAATCCTAGGAGTTGATTATCCTCTTGATAATTGCAATACGGACATTTGTAGAGGGAATTTAGACAACCTTCAGAAATGTGTCTGGCGAGTCCATATTCTATGTTGAATTGTTTTCCACATGAATAGCAGGTATTTGGGGTTAATTTCCGAAATGAAGATTTGATTTCTCTTCTTCGTCCTCTTGGTCGCTCTTTTGGCAAAAATTTTGAAGGACGAATATTAATTTTGGGACTCTCTCTTTTTCTTAATTGTATACAACTTGGATGTTTGAACCGAACATTTTCTTCTTCTTCTTCTTCTTCTTCTTCTTCGTCGTCGTCTTCTTCTTCTAGTTTAATACAGTTGAATTTTAAATGAGACGAAAAACCCAATTGACTTTTATATCGTTTCTGACACTTTGAACAAAAATATTTCTCTCTCTGCTTTATCCTATTATTTTCACTGGACGATTGAAAGTATTCCGAATCTTCCATTTGAGAGTTATTCCATGATAACTCTTTAGAAGTTGTTAGTAATTCCTCCGTTTCCTTTTATCTTTAATAAATTATAGAGAAATTTTCATTGTAGAGAAAAACTTTTTCTTGTAGTTGTGCGTTAATTTTCACAATTTTTACAGTTTCGCTGGGAATTTTTGGAATTTTGGAAAATGCCTTCACTGGTGGGTCATTACTTTGAATCCTAATTCCACTTTTTAGTATATTAGCGTTTGATCCTTTATTGTCGATGAAATCTGGGAAAAAACAGAAAAAAAGACATTTATTAGTGTAGGTGATAAAAAAGTTTGTGACACAAGGTGTATTCACCAAAAATAATGTCAAATAAAATACAAAATAGACTTCGTACTCGATAATTAATTTTGAAACTTAATTATTTCTAAAAATTCTAAAAATTGAAAAACTAATTCTTCCAAAATTCAATGAATTTTTTTGTTGTTGAAATTTTTAAGTAAAATTATTCAAGACTTTAATCATTTTATTTAAAAAAAGATTTATATTATTATTATAGTTGCATTTTTAGAGGAATTTAATTATTTTTATAAAAAAACAAAATTTTTCGAAAAAATCAATAAAATCCTTTGAAAAAATTCGATTAATTTAAAAAATTGTTATGAAATTTTCCGTTAAAATTAAGTTATTTTCATAGATAATAAAATTTTTAGAAAGAATTAAATTTCCTTAAAAAATTTTCCAAAAAAATACAATTATTTATTTATTTTTTCAAATTCGTCGAAAGAATTCAATTAATTTTAACGAAAAATTTTATTATAATTTAGTAATACAATTTTTCGTTAAAATTAAGTTATTTTCAAAATTAAAAAAATTTATACAAAGAATTAAATTAATTTTAAAAATTCTTTGAAAATATTTAATTGCTTTCGTAAATAATAAAATTAATCGCCAAAATTCAATTATTTTAATAAAGTTCTTCGCTAGAATTCAATTATTTTCAAAAATTTAAATAAAATTTTTCGTAATAATAGAAATAATTAAATTATTTTCGAATATTTTAAAACTTATTCTTCCCAAGAATTGGATTTTTTTTCATAAGTAACGAAATCCTTGGAAAGAATTCAATTATTTTCATAAATCATAAAATTTTGAAAAATAATTGAATTTTAAAAGAGAATTTTATTATTTATGAAAATAATTGAATGTTTGCAAAGAATTTTATAAAAAAAAATTTGTTAAATTATTTAATTCTTTTGGGAAAATTTTTATTAAAATAGTAAATATTGGAAATAATTGAATTTCAAAAATTTGTTGGAAAATAATCGAATAGTTTGGAAGAATTTAATTAAAATTTTTCGTAATAATTCAATTATTTTCAAACATTTTAATATAATTTTTTTCAAGAATTGGATTTTTTTCATAAATAACAAAATCCTTCTATAGAATTCAATTATTTTCATAAATCATAAAATTCTTCGTAACAATTTAATTCTTTTATTTATTTATAATTATTTCAAAAATTTAATTAAAATTTTTAAGAAAATTGAATTTCCAAAAAAAAAATTTAATAATTTATGAAAATAATTGAATTTAAAAAATTTTTTGAAAATAATCCAATGTTTTGAAAGAATTTTATTAAAATTTGTGAAAATAATTTTTTTATTTCAACTTTTATCAAATTTAAAGTGGTGCAAATTTTCAAACATGGAAAAAAGTCACTTTCAGTGTCACGAATCTAAAAAAAGTTGCAAATATTAGCAAATTGTAGAAAAAAAGTAGTAAATAGTAGATTTTAGTCGAAAAGTACGAAGCCTGTAAACAAAATAAATATCAAATTAAATATCAAATAAAATACAAAATTAATATCAAATAAAATATAAAACAAATATCAAAGAAAATATAAAATGAATATCAAATAAAATATAAAATGAATGTCAAATATAAATATCAAACAAATTAATATAAAAAACAAATAGAATAATTTTAAGGAAATTTTTCGAAGTGGACCAAAACTGAGTCACGAACAGCAGCTGAAAAAAAATCAGAAAAAATACATTTTTGATAAAAATCAAAATTACTTTCAAGAAATTAAATTATCTGAAAGGAAAAAAGATTAAAAATTGTTTCAAACTCAAATTTGAAAAAAAAATTTTTATGCATAATTATCAAATAAAAACCTGAAATATTGATTATTGTAAAATATTCACAAGTAAATTCCATAATAGAAAAGAATATTAATATTCGCCTCTATAAACAGTCAATGTTCCTGAAAATTCTGCTTCATTAAATAAAGAATGAGTAAAGTAATTAATAAAGTATTAATTAATAAATTATTAATAAATAATTAATAAATTATATAAATTAATATATAAAATAATCAGTTAAAATAACAAAATTTTCAACACACGTATATCGTTGTCGTTCTTCAGGAATCAATAACATTTTCCATTCCACCACAATAATATTTGGACAAAGTTTATTATTTAAAATTTTTACAATAAAATTATGAATCGCAATTATTTAAAAAAACACTATAGACACAAAAAAATATTTGCTGTCAATTATATTATTTATATATATTTTTTCGTCAACAAATTTTTCCCTTAAAAATATATTGAATTTTACTCATTATTGTAAATATCGATAGCGTAAACATCATTGCCAGGATGTTTTCTTCTCACGTGAGCGCGTACATTTGATATATGCTTCGTTCTATAGAAACAATATGGACAATTAAAGCGTGGCTCACGTCCACATTCGTATCTCAAGTGATATTTCAAATTATAATTATGTCGAAATGCGCTGGGACAATTTGGACAGGGAAAAGCCTGTCCCTGTGAGGTACGTTTCTGAATGGGAACGCGTCTCGTGTAAGCTCGAGCTCTTCTCACCACGTAAGGTGGAAACGAAGTACTCTCTAATCCTGAAAAAAGAAAAAAAACAGAAAATTAATTATTATCTCAAAAATCATAATTCTACGAAAGAAATGAAATTAAAATTGAAAATCAGTAATTGAAAATCAATTGAAAAATTGAAAATCAATTCGAAATGAATTGGAAATCAATTGAAAATTAGTTTTAATGAGAGAAAGACCTGAATAACGAGAAAAATGTTTTCTATTATATCAACAATAATTTACACAAACTTGCAAATATATTATACATGCTTTCTCTTAATTTCTAGGAAATTATTTTATTAGTTTACAAATTACATGCACGTATTTTATATTTTTTTTTTATGAATGTTGAGAATCTGTCGTATGAGAGTTTTTTTTTTTTTTTAAATTTGTAGAGTTGTTGGCTTAAGTAAATCGATGACCCAAACATTATTTCCCTTGTGCTGTGCTCGAATGTGTTTGTACATGTTTGAACGAAGTTTCGAACGTTGCGAACAATATGGACATTGAAATTGTGGCATTTTTCCACATTCATAAGCAACATGTTGATTGAGACCGCCTTTTCGCCGGAAACAAGTCCCACAGTTTGGACACGGATACCTCAGGTTATCGGATTCATATCTGAAAACTAAATATTAATTTTATTAAAATATTTTTAGAAATTGGCATTTTTTTCGAAACTAAAATAAACGAATTTTTACACATTCCACCGTGAATATTTTATACATTTTTTTTTCATCTAAAATATTAATTCTACCAAAAGAAATACATACTTGCTTTTATAGTGGGCATTTTTTTTTTATTGAAAACATGTTTACACTTTTGAAATTTAATACTTGAGAATAATATTATTTTCGGTATTTTTTTTTTTGTTTTTTGCTTTTTATATCTAATGACTATGTTTGTTAATAGTATTAATATGAAAAGCATTGTTTTAGCCAATCATGCTTACTCACACCGTATTTACAATATTATTAACATAATATTGAATATTTGACAAAAGAAAATTGTAAAAATTATAAAAATTTGGATATAATCGAAATTTCCATTTTTATTAATTTCTATGTGTATTGTAAACTATTTTTCTGATTTATTAATTTCTAGTATTGTAAATTATTTCTCTGATTTATTGGGTTCATATTAATTTACAACTTTATCTTTCGATTTTTTACAGATTTATATTGTCAAGGAAGTTAGAACCAAAAAAGTATAAGGTAAGCAAAAATTGTTAGTATTTGTAAATTATTTCTACAAAATTCCGGAGAAATCTGCCACTATTCGAATTTAGAATGTAAACTTTACACTAATTTACAATTTTACTTTCGTATTTATTTTAGATTTGTTTTCTTTTCTTTTCTAGGTATATTTTTTCTTTTCTTCTCTATTTCTTTTCTTCTCTATTTTTTTTCTCAATTTTTTTTCTTAATTTTTTTTTCTCTATTTTTTCTTGACTAAAATTCTTCATTTTTCTAACTATTTAAAGTAATAACTTTATATTTTATTCAGTCTTGAACACTTCTATTCGTTTCTTTGAGCTATTAGAATATTATTAATACATCGACACGCTGCATTCGTTGGTGACATAAATTATATCAATTTTTTTCTACTAGAGGACGGTATAATATAAAAATTGAACTGTCTGGCCCTTTTTTAAAATAAAGAAAAATTTGCCGAACGCAAAAATATAGTTTCTGAGAAAAAAAATGCTTCCTTTTCAAAAAAGGAAATTTAATTAAGGATTTCTCCTTAAATAAAGTAAAAAAAATTAATTTTCGAAATTTTCAGCTGTAGGAAGTTAATTAATTTTAATTTTTGAAAAAATCATTTTTATACTAATTTTCTGCAAGGAAATCATGAAAATTGGGTCAAAAAAAAATTTTCGAACACTTTTAAATTCTACAATTTGGAATGAAAATGAAATATTTCAAAAACTCATTCGTCATTTTTTAGAAAATGTATTTTTATATTGAATACAAATTTGCTAGATTAAAATTTTCTACTTTTGAAGCAATTTTTTTTTTAAATAACTAGGTATTTTCTTAAAACATAGAAAAAGAGCAAAATTAGTTTTTAAAAAAAAAAAATTTTTAACATAATTTTTGTAAACTAAGGAAGAAAAATTTTTCTATTTTACTATTTTTAAAGCATTTTTTAAAATGAAAAATTCATTGTTTTCTTTGAAAATGTTATTTTTAATATAATTTTTTTAAAACTAGAAAAGAAAAAACAATTTTCTTTGAAAATGTTTTAGAAATTGAAAAATATTTTTTACAACCGTTAAAAAGCTTTTTCTCAAAAAATTCATTTTTTCCATTCAAAATATTATTTTAAACATAAGTTTTCAAAAATAAAAGGAAAAAGTAATTTATAACTTTTAAAAATATTTTAGAAATTGAAAAATATTTTTTATGACAGTCAAAAACGTTTTTTTCAAAAAACTTCCATTTTTTTCATTCAAAACATTATTTTTAGCATAATTTTTAAAAATTAAGAAAGAAAAAAGTTTAACTATTAAAATGTTTTAGAAATTGAAAAATATCTTTGATAACAGTAAAAAAACTGAAAATGAGAAAATTATATTGAAATAAAAATTTTTTTAGTATTGAAATTGAACGGAAAAAATTAGAAACAAAGATAACGATTGATGATGTAAATAAATGTAAATAAAAACTGTATTTAATTTTTTTTTAAACTATCCTTTTAGTTCTAATTTGCAAAATGCATCGAAAAAATGAAAAAACTTGATAAATTTGTAAAATATCTTCAAAAGTTACTTTTTTTCTTTTCTAATTTTCGATAATTATGTCAAAAGTGACAGTTTTCAGGGAAAACTAATTTTTTTATATCGAAAAAAGTAAATACTCAATGTTTTCAAAAAATAGTAAACTTATTTCAAAAATAGAAAAATTAGAAATTTTGAGCTGTAAAATTTTTTACGAACATAAAAATACATTTTCTAAGAAAAAATAATAGAAAATAATTTTTCGTTTTTTAATTTTTGATAATTATGTCAAAACTGACCTTTTTCAAGTAAAAATAATTTTTTGCCTACTTAATTTTCGATAATTATGTCAAAAGTGATCTTTTTCAAGAAAAAATAATTTCTTAGATCGAAAAAAGTGATTTTGTAAATGATAAAAACAACTCTTCAAAAATAGTAAAATTAAAAAACTTGAGCCTCAAATTTCTGTATATGATTAGGTATAAAAATACATTTTTTAAGAAATTGCGGATGAATTTTGAAATATTTCATTTTTATCAAGAAATAGAATTTGAAAAGTGGTGAAAAAAATTTTTTGCCATTGAATTCCCAGCTAAAAATTACTTTAGAATTGATTTTGTCAAAGATTCGAACTAATTTCTTCATATCGCTGAAAACTTCGTCACAGTCTCCCTTTCGATTCTATTTTCTAATTTTGACACTATTAAAATTATTTTAACAAGTCTTTTAATTATTAAGTAACATGAGCACACGGTGAATTCACCAAAAGTGAATTTTTAAAATATAAAATCGTATTTTAAAAATACTTTAATATTAATTTAATTTCTATGTTAATATTAATAATCTGTATTAATTTTTTCTGTCCGGAAAGAAATTCAGTTAGTTTCAGTCGAAAAAAGTAGAATAAAAAATTAAAGTTCATAAAGAAAAAAAATATTTTCTTGTGACTGGACAAATTACGAAATTGCAAACGAAATAAATTGTGAATTAAATAAATTGTTAATGAAATAAATTGTAAACGAAATCAATTGTTACTGAAATAAATTGTAAACGAAATAAATTGTCAATGAAATAAATTGTAAACGAAATTAATTTTAAAAGAAATAAATTGTAAACGAAATAAATTTTAAATGAAATAAATTGTAAACAAACTAAATTTTTCTAATTTAAAGGAAAGATTAAATTAAAGAAAGAATTTAAAGAATCAACTTCTGCCAATTATTGTTACCACTGTCAAAAAAAAATCGTCACGTTTATGAGTTTGGCTCTAGATCAACGGCGTAAATTTTTAAACCAATATGCCTATGTTTGACATGGGTGTACATATTGCTGCGTTGCTTTGTTTTATAATTACAATAGGGGCATTGAAAGCGAGGATCACGATTACACTCATATTTAAAATGTCGCCAAAGAGCATTTTTTTGTTTATAAACTTTACCGCAACTCTCGCAAACATTACCGCCAGTTTGTTGTGAGTTGACTACGACAGTTTTCTTTGCGTCAACTGCTTGTCGAACAGCAACATCTTCCCGGAAGGCTGCATACTCATTCCAAAATGCAACTATCAACAAATAGAAGGAAAATAATTTATCATTCTTTTTTCTTTAAACAAACGAAATTACTTTTTACGAGCGATGAATTCAATATTATTTTTATTTAAAAACAAACACTTTCTTTCAGAGAGCAATAATTTTCAATTGATTCTAATAAAATTCATAAAATTCTAATAAAATTCACTAGTATTACTATTCTCTAATGTCACCATTGAATTTAATATGAAATTGCATTTGTATTTTTTGAAAAATATTTCTGAATCTTCATTGTAATCTTCCGAGTTGTAAACACTGTGAATATAAAACATGTTAAGATCATAATAAAGGTAAAAAAAGGCAAATTAACCTAAAATGGAAATTAATCAAAGATTTACGCTCATCCCTGTTTTATTCGAAAAATCCCATCTGAAAAAAAACTCTCGACAATAATCAAAATTAAATACCTGAAAGTAAAATATTATGAACATAAACACACTTACGAAATTTCAAAGAATAAATTCAAGAATACCGATAAATCGCTATCTTTACAGATATAAATCTACTGGCTATATATAAATATAAGCAGTGTATCTGGAAAAAGGATATAGTCACTGGCACTTCCTCACAAGAAAAACAATCATCACTTGGCTTTAAACCTGTCACTTTATTGAAAAACACAATTATACATTTCGAAAAACGATAAATCTTGAAATGAACAAATTTTTAGAAATAAAGAACTGAAATTAATTATTATACACAAGCACATAAATTCATAAGTATAATATAGATGTTTGAAATTAAAACAAAATCATATAAAATGTCATTGTGCTAAGTTTGGTTCGTGGTGCGTCAACACAAAAACTCAAATTTCGTGTATATTATATGTGAACCGTATTAAAGTTTGATTGTTATATTATCGAGTAAGTCATTTTTTGTATAAATAAACAAGAAAATGTAATTTATTTGTTAAATTAATGACTTACCGGCACGATAATACGCTTAGCACATAACCTCATCACAAACAAAAACGAGGAGAAGCAGAAGACAACTGAACTATGCCCAAAATGATCGATTTTCAGAGCATTGAAAAAAGTATCGAACTCGAATCGAGAGATCGATACAGAAATTTTAAATTTGAAAAACATTTTTTTTTAAATATTTTTTTTTTTTGGAAAATTGCAAATAAATAAAAATTATTACTTGTTTTAATAAATTTTTCATAAATAAAGATCAATAAAATTGTTTAAATTTTTATCTTTTATGTTTAGAAATTTTTTTTAAAATATATTAAGAGTGAATAGTTTTCCAAACCAATTAAATATCTCGAAGTTCGTTAAATTTTTTTTCAGTTAATAAAAGACAATCAAAACATTTGAAAATTTTTTGAAATATTTATCAATATTTATAAAATTGAATTTAGAATTTCTAATTAATTTATTAATTGGTACAAAAAATTATCAAAACGATTTCATATTTTTATTTCTTTGAAACAAATATCGTTTAATTGACTCGAATAATTATTAAATATTGATATATGTTTAACTGTTGCATATAAATAATTATTACTGATAAATATTTAATTGAGGAAAGTAAATAATTATTTGCTATTAACGAATTCTTTTTTAATTACAAACTAAAATCAGAACTTCCTTTCGAATTTATTTTTATTTAATTTTGTTTATTTATTATTTCATTATTTATTGTTTATAAATTATTATTTAATATTATTTATTAAATTTTATTTAATTATTTGTTATTTAATTAATTTAGATATATTATTTAATTTATCATTATTAATTTATTGCCTTCTTTTTTGTTCTTCATTATTATTAATTATAATTTATTAACAATAAATAAATAGTAAATAAACAAAATTTTAAAAAATAAATTCTAAAAGAAGTTCTGGTTTTAGTTTAAAATTTAAAAAAAAGTTACTATCAAATAATTATTTACTTATACTTCAATTAAATATTTATAAGTAATAAATAATTATTTATAATTTCATATTATTTATTACATTTTGTTTAAATATTTATTATTAATTAATTATTATTTACTAAATTTTTTTTCATTATTTGTTGTTAATTATTAATTAATTGATAAGTATTTATTATTTAATAGTTTTAATAAATTTTTTTTTGAATTATTTATATTTTTATTTAATCATTTTTTATCACTTTTTTTTACCTATTTAACCATAATAATGATTGATAGTCATCAATTATTTCTTAAATGGAAATTTTCTATCCTTTGCAGTGCAAGATGATTCCTTCCATATTTTTGGCAGCATTTTAAGAATTTTTTTTTTAATATTTCCGTATTTTTACTTTCATATTGATAATTTTCGATGAAATTAATCCTTATAATAAAGTAGATGGCAACAGTCTGAAACAAATATTTTTACATTAGAATAATAAGTCAAGAGTTTAAAAATTTGAAATAATATAATAAATTAAAATGATCCTTCTAAATCTATAAATTAATAAAAAGTCGTCCACTAATTTAAATTAGTAAAATTATAAAATAGTAAAATTTTACTAAAAAAATTAGTTAAAATTGGTTATTTTTTAGTAAAAAAAAAATTTATTTGATAATGAATATTTATTTGGTTTAAATAAAAAGTATTTGGTACAAATAAATTTTTTTTGTGCCAAATAATTTTTATTTAAAATAATTTAATAGTATTTGCTGAAAATAATTTTTATTTAAAACAAAGAAAATGGTATTTTTTATTTAAAACAAATAATATTTGCTTAAAATAATTTTTATTTAAATCAATTAAATGGTTTTTGTATCAAATAATTTTTATTTAAAACAATTAAATGGTGTTTGCTTCCAGTAATGAAATAATTGTTTCAAATACAATTTATTTGGTTAATAAAATTTATTTGATTCAAGTATTTAAATATTTTTTTGAAAATAGACAAGTAGCCGACTATTTGAATCGAATAAATTTTTTTTTCAATGATTTCTATATTATTTCACCGAATTAAATTTTTTATAGTTGAGTAAAAGGTGTTGAATTAAAATAAGCAGAAATAATTTCATTTTTTTAAAAATAAAATACAATTTTTTGTGCTGTTAAACAATAAGATAATAATTTTTCCTAAAATTTGAAGATATTTGTCTTCCTTCTGCTAGAAGAGAAATAAAAAATTAAAATTTATAGACACAAATAATTTACTCAATTTTATTAAATTCAATATATTAATTAATTATGGTATACAAGGAGTAGAATATATTTTGGAATTTAACTACTTGTAGGTACTTAAAATAATAAGATGATGAATATTCATTATATAGTAGGTAGATAAATATATTTGAACACCCAGAAAAAATATATATTCGACTTGGAGCCAACTAGACTTTTTATTTGTTTTAAATCAATTTTATTTGGTTTAAATAAAATTTTACTTGGTTCACAAAAAAGTTAGTTTGTTTAAATAAAATTTTACTTGGTTCACAAAAATTTTATTCGGTTTAAATAAAAGTTTACTTGGTTCACAAAAATTTTATTTGGTTTAAATAAAAGTTTACTTGGTTCACAAAAATTTTATTTGGTTTAAATAAAATTTTACTTAGTTTAAATAAAATTTTATTTGGTCACAAAAATTTTATTTGGTCTAAATATAATTTTACTTGGTTTAAATAAAATTTTGTTTGCTTTAAATTAAATTTTACTTGATTCACAAAAAATTTAATTTGGCTTAAATAAAATTTTACTTAGCTCAAAAAAATTTTATTTGGTTTAAATAAAATTTAATTCGGTTCAAATAAAAGTTTTATTTATGCCTAAAAAATTTTTTATTTAAAACCAATAAAAAACCTTGTTGACTCTGAGACGAATATATACTTTTATTTCAATTCAAATAAAATATATTTAGTTTGAAATAAATTTTTTTTCTTGGGTGTCTGGCGTGATTTTTCCTTTTTCAGAAAATTCCCCTCATTTTCTTTTCGTGTTTATGACAGAAATAAATATTTTTAACGTTAAAAAAAAATTGACAATATATATTTAAAAAAAGTTTTCCTCTATTCATAGTATTTTTATACACTGAGAAAATAATATATTTGAATCAAACATAATCTTTGTTATACAGTCAACCAAAAATTATTTTTGAATTAAACACAATAATTTTGATTCAATACATAATAAGTTTGATTCAATAAAACTTAGGTAAGTTTAATTAAAAAAATAAAAAAAAATTACGTTTAATTAAAATTCAATCATATTTTTTATTGGTTGGCTACTTATTTTTGAATTAAAAATATTTTTCTCAGTGTATACTTGTCAAATGGTGAAAATAACAAAAACTGAAATAATGTGCTTTTTTATTTGCTTTTAAAAAATATTCACAATTTTTCTGCAGATATCAAGTTGAGGCAAAAAACGAATCAAAAATTTTGATTCGTTTTGAGACAAAAAATTCGTTTTGATAATTGAGACAAAAAAAAACGAATCAAAAATTTTGATTCGTTTTGTCTCAATTTTTGATATCCTCAGAAAAATTTTCTTTCAAAAAGCATTCTTATTTTTTGTTCTTATTTGTATAAACCTTGAGTGGCTTACTAGTAGTCGGCGCATTCTTAATATTACCAAATGTTTTTTTCGTTATAACGTCAATTGAATAAGCCTCCTTTTGCGGATGAAGAAATTTCACATGCGAAATAATATTTCGTGAATATTTACTGAGAAAATTGCAATAGGGACATTTGAATCTTGGCCCCTGGCCACATTCAAATTTACAATGACCACGCAATGAGCGAATATTTTTATAAGAACTACCGCAATTATTTGGGCATGGAAAATTTTTTGTGCCACTTGTAGGATTTCTTCTTATTACTCTTCGACTTTTCGGTAAGATGAGTGTGTCCTCATTTGCAGATTTTTTTGTTTCTTTAGGTGGAGGGATTGGAGTGTAAAATTCTTCGCCGGTAATTATACGAACTTCCTGAAGACGATGAACGTGACTGAAATGTCTTTGGATGTTACTCATTCGTTTACTGTTGTAGGGACAATAGCAGCATTTGTAAATTTTTCTCTTGAGTTTGGTGGGCGGCTTTGGGGGAGAATCATCGGTAATTGTTATTTCTTCTTTTATTATTTTTCCAGTTTCTCCAGACGATGTGGTATCTTCGGTGTAGTTTTCTTCTGTCCAAATTAAATCGGGGGAATTATTGTCTTCGATGAATTCAATATTATTGATGTCCACGAAGGTGTAATTGTCGGGATCTGAAAAAAAAATTTTTTTTTTGGTTAGTATTACAGTGGAAAATTTAGGACAATAATTTATTTATACTGTTGTCAAATATGTGATGCGCTTGGTAACATGTTTGAAACAATGTAAATATTTATTAATGAATATTTAATAAATAAAAATTTAATATCTGTAAATATTTATTAATCGATTTTTAATAAATAAATATTTAATATCTGTAAATATTTATTAATAGATTTTTAATAAATAAATATTTAGTTTCTGTAAATATTTATTAATAGATTTTTAATAAATAAATATTTAATATCTGTAAATATTTATTTGAAGTAATATTTAATATCCGCAAATATTTAATTGAAGTAATTTTTAATATCCGTAAATATTTATTTGAACTCACAGATTTTCTAAGGATATTGAGAAATTGAAACAAAAAAAGAATCAAAATGTTGCTTCGCAACACTTTTGATTCTTTTTTTTGTCTCAATTTGATATCTGCAGAAAATCTGTGGCTAATATATTAAAATAATTGACTAAATAAGTAAATACATATAATAGACTCTGAAATCAATTTTTTTTATAGAAAAAACTGTTTATTTTAAAATTTAAAGACAATTTACATTTGTGTTACAATACTTACATATAATTAAATAATTATAGTGAGCAATTCTACGTGAAATGATGATTGAATCGAAAAAATTAAACTTGACAAATTTGAATTAAAAATTTATAAATAAATTTTTAATTTTTTAATGTTAGGAAGTGGATTTTGAAGCATTTTTTGTGTACTTTTCGATGCCAAAGATCATTTTCCAAAAAAAGGAATTTTTAACCCTTTTTTTCAAAAATAAATCTGATTTTTCAATTTTTCGAAAAACTACCTCGTTTTTCATTTTATTCGTAATTTTTTTTTAAAAAGTTGAGATTTTTAACTGATATTTCAGTTTTTTGTACTCTCTAAATTTGAATTAGTAA